TGGTTTAATTTTATGCAAAAAAGCACACGTAAGACACTTGCACTGGAGAATGAGGAATTTCCGTGTTTTATTGAATCGTCCATCCAATTTCATTTTACCAATCTGTTTATCGATGTAGCTAAATTTGAATATTGGTCTAGCTACACTGTCGAAATGATCACATGATTTCTTGTGCAATGCAACCTATTTATCACATAAAGGTTTTATTATCATGAATTAATCAGCAGGTGAAGCCCATGCGCGCACACAAGCTCCACAGATCCGTGACATATCCTCACGACAGCATGCAGCAGCGCTATCGGATAACACGGGGAATTCCCTTCGTCATGTATTCGCACACCATGATCTGCAGATATTCGGCAATGCTGCATTAACGCAACCGCTCATCACCAGATAACGTTATGTATTTCTACCACCGAGTCAGCCCCGCTAATGCACATTTTTTACATCTAGAAATATATTTCCCCGCTAAAATGCGTGATATTCAAAATAAACTCAATCACAAGAAGCAGTGGTGCGTTAGAACTGCTGAATCATAAAACATTTTATGTTAAAATATCGGTTGCATAGCCTACAGCATGCATCAAAACACCGTATGTGATTGTGTAACCGCGTACCTGCGCATCAACGCGATGTGTCCATGGAAACGCCAACATAATCCGAGGCGCAAAAGCGAGTAACGTGCTTTAATAATACTATTTCATAGCTATTTCCTCAGATTCGTCTTCACAGCGAGGCGTCGATCCACTCAGGGCCTCTTCATCCAATGAAGCGAGATTTTGTCGCTTACCCGAACCAGAAATCACGACTGAGGGGACAGTTCCCTTCTGCACAGGTTGACATAATGAGCTATAACATAACAGCCCGATCTACCTGATCCTGAAGATCTGTGTAATTAGGCTATAGCAGAAAAAGGCGTTCGGTTTCCCTGTGGTCGTGACCACCCGGCTCGGTCCGTCTTCATGTCAGTCCCCGCAGCGCATGCAGCGGTGGTAATAAAGCAGTTATAAGGGGCTCCAGAGCTGGAGGCAGTGTGAGAGTGGCGAATACATCTGTCCTGCAGACACAAGAGCTCTTGGACAAAGAACAGGCTAAAGGTTATACAACCGTCTTCAGATTGCATTTGCATGGATTGATCAATCCAGACTTTATGCAGTTGATTTGAAGAATAATGCAAATGTAAAATAATTGTGCGCGTGTCTGTCCCAATATATATATATATATATATATTCTCCTGCTTCAGGCATTAAGATTTCAATAACACTTTGCAATAGGGTTCAACTTGGTTAATGCATGCAATACATTTTTTTTAATTGTACTGAAATGAATTAATATAATATTACTATGCACATTAGTTATTGTAAATGCATTCTGAATAAACATTTAACAATGAGCAATGGTATTTATTTATTCATTCATGTATTTATTTAATGTAATACATACTACTAATAATTAATGTATTTTTAGTATTTAATATTAATTAAGATTAATAAATGGTCATTTGTACAAATTGTAAGCATTAAAAATGCAATTAAAATGTTTAAAATATGCATTCTTTAAAGGTTTACATTGGACAAAACTCATGAAAATTATGTTCTGTCAGCGTTGAAACTTCCCATTTCTATTGCATAAATCTTCTGTTTGATGTGACTGTAGCACTTAACTCTGCTCTGTTGAGGACAGCATTTGTATTCATATCCTGTGGTTTATTCTGAACACTCAAAGACCCTCTTCTTGATCTCACTCCAAACTCGTGTGTTCACAGTAACTCTGTGCCGTAAATGAGCTGTATGGGCCAAATGATTTAAGTATGAATGGAGAGGTGGACCGTTCAGTGTAACACAGTACCTCTGATATTAGAATACTTTGTGAATACATTGTTGTCTGTCTTTCAACTGTGATGAAAGAAAACTTCTACAGTACCTCTCTGTCTAAACCCAGTCAAAAGGTGTTTTGGCAGCTGCAGTGGCCAAATCTCAGCAGGACTAACAGCCATCTGTTAGAGGAAAAAATGCTAAACATCAGACTAATTAGCAGGAATTAAAATGCTACTGACAATATGCGTGAGGGATTTTTCTAGGAATTATTAACATACACCACCCACTTTTTAAAGGGACTGCAGACCACTCTAATATGCAAAACACTATGCTCAAAGACAAAGGGTCATAAACATTCCATCCGAAAGTTTAAATTACCATTGGCTCACTGATCCCCTGTAGGAGTGACATCTACAGAAGTTAACCCTTTGATGCACAACATGGGTCTAAATAGACCCGACTCAGTTTTCATTTTCTATATCTTTGCAAGAAATTAATTTCATCATTCAGTATTCCAGGTATTCCTCAATTAACTTGTTTTTGATCATCACAAATCCTTATTTTTATTTTTCCTTTCTTACTTTTTGAATAAAAATAGTTTTTGTATAGCAACCCCTCTAATGCGCAACATGGGTCTAAAAAGACCCGTATTCATTTCCTATGGTATTTCAGTGATGGCTGAGTGTTTTCTTTGCTGAATCTTTAAAATATATGTATTTTATCATTTCTTATTCCAGGTATTCATTAAATATCTTGTTTTTGATTTACACAACTCATTATGTTTATGTTTCCTTTCTTACTTTATAAACAAACACAGTTTTTGTATTTCTACATCAATTTTACATACATGGGTCTAAAAAGACCCGTATTCATTTCCTATGGTATTTCAGTGATGGCTGAGTGTTTCTTTGCTGAATCTTTAAAATATATGTTTTTTTTTATCATTTCTTATTCCAGGTATTCATTAAATATCTTATTTTTTGATTTACACAACTCATTATGTTTATGTTTCCTTTCTTACTTTATAAACAAACACAGTTTTTGTATTTCTACATCAATTTTACATACATGGGTCTAAAATTACCCATATTCATTTGCTATGTTATTTCAGTGATGTCTGAGTGTTTCTTTGCTGAAAGAAATCTTTAATTTAAAATATGTTTTTTAATCATTTCTTATTCCAGGTATTCATTAAATATCTTGTTTTTAATTTCCACAAATCATTATGTTAGGTTTTTTATTTATTTATTTCTACATCAATTTTACATACATGGGTCAAAAATTATTATTAATCTTATTTTATTTTAACCACAGACATTTTTTTATATATTGTAAAAGATTACAACATAATATCTCAATATTAGGCTATGGTTACCTTGACCTTGTAAACCTAGTGAGAAATTACTTGTGAGGAGAAACATGTCCAATACTATTAGCTAGCTAGCTGTTGACATATTCTAGCTAGCTAATGTTAACTATACACTAAAAAAAAGATTGTTTTTTAAAGCTTATTTACATTTAGTAGGCCTAACAGTTCATAATCATTCATATGCTGAAATGATTCTTATACTGAAATCATTCTATGATTGAAATGATGCCCAGCTCTGCTAAAGACAATTCAGTAGCTGGTGTTCCCAGAGCACCAGGCCTGTGTGCAAGGAGCACAAACATGTAGTTGTCATTTGTGAGGCATGTAAGCACTAAGATGGCAATTTGAGATGCCGCTGTACCAGTGTGATTTTATTTTTTCTGTTTTCTTTTCTTTGATCACATTCACCACAATTCAATAGAGTTACACTACACCACAGTTCAATTTCAGTGTTATCAGTTATCAGTTATCTGTGACATGTGAATGCTATGCGAGACAAAGTGGCAAATAAACATTTCAAGTGTTAAATGTGTTGTCTAAATTACTTCTAAGATGATTAATTTAACAAAAAGTTGTCTTTATTCTTTTGTTTTATTATGCTTGATAAGTACATTTGATATAGTAACACAAAACCTAGAAAAAAAAAAGAAAAAAAATATTTTTGGTAATTGAAAAAAAATATTTTTTAAATATTTATAAATCATGAAATTTATAGATAATGGAATATTAAATGCTTAAATAAATTGATCTCAAAAGATAAAAAGAAAAGAAAAGTCCAGCCATGCATTAAATAACATAGGAAATGAATACGGGTCTTTTTAGACCCATGTATGTAAAATTGATGTAGAAATACAAAAACTGTGTTTGTTTATAAAGTAAGAAAGGAAACATAAACCCAATGATTTGTGGAAATCAAAAACAAGATATTTAATGAAAACCTGGAATAACAAATGATAAAATACATATATTTTAAAGATTAGCAAAGAAAACACTCAGCCATCACTGAAATACCATAGGAAATGAATACGGGTCTTTTTAGACCCATGTTGCGCATTAGAAGGGGTATCCATAGCTTGCGCATCAAAGGGTTAAAGGTCACTGTCCTAGTTACTCTTCTTTCTCTCTTCTGCAGTTAAAACTATTGTTACTTCCTCACTCATAAGAGAGGGTCGAACTAACACTTACTGAACCATCAAGAATTTCTACTGAGACACTCGTTCAGCAACTAAGACATTGCAAGAATTGTAAATTTAACTTACTAAGCAGAGGCTTAGTATACACTATGTTCTGTTCTGACGGTTAAATGACTCTGTTCCATAGCTTCATTCCCTTCTTCCAGTTTCATTTACATTCACTTTACATTTTACCCATGTATGCGCGATTGTGTGTGTGTTTTAGATTTTGCATTTCTGATTTATTTAAATAAAACTTTTTTACACATTTCACAAGTTTTGATTCTGGTCCCTGCTTTCAGATCAATGTCCCTTCAACAATGCTAAGAAAGTAATTTTTTTTTTGGCCAAGAAAATATCCTTTCTGAGAGTTCTGTGTTCGCTGGATGAACAGAATATTTATTCAGCTACATCAAGTTAATTTGATTAACTGATCCAAATTTATATTATAATATATATATATATATATATATATATATATATATATATAATTAATTTAAAAAAAGTTATTTAACATGTTTATTAATTCTTCAATTTCCCTTTAGAGATAAATTGATCTATATGACTCATATGTGATTTTACGTCTAAAGAAAGAAAATAACCTTACTTCACATACACACAGAAATAAACTTGAGAACCAACTCACCGTAAACAATTTTATTGAAACTGCATTAATGCTCAAATTGCACATATTTTGGGGGTCAAAATAAAATTAAGATAAACACTACAAGCCACTGACTCCACAACACATTATTCGCAACCTGAGAATATTCAGTTTGTTATTTCACCATATACAAAATATTAAATAGGCAAATACCTTGTTATCCTGTAACAATCTTATTACAAAACAGGTCCACAACATCTGACACTTTCTAGCATGTCTGTATATTAAATAACAATAAAAGATGCTCCAGAAATAAGCATGAATTATAATAATAATCACCATATTAAGAAAACAATGATCACAGCCAATCACAGTGACGCTGCTGTTTGGCCAAACAGGTGCAAGCCAATGATGTTAAATCAGCCCGACTGCCCGTAGAAGTGCTAATATGTTAGCATACATGTGCGTGCTTCATCCCAAAGCAGTATAAAAGAGGCTTTGACAAATGTTTATTTACGCTCTCTTACAGTTTAGTTACCGCACATGATTGAAATATGTTCATTAAAAAAGTACCACAAACCAAGCAAAACAGCACTATAATCACACTTGTATTACCTTACATCTCTTAGTAAACATTTTGCAATATTATGTTTAAGTGAGCAATTTACAACTGCTGATTTATGCTTTCATTTTAAAACATTACAAATGTAAATATCTATTATTCAGCTTTCAAATGAGACAAGTAATATCAACTCCTTACAATACAGATTTAAACCTCTCCATTAAATAAAACAGACGAGTCACTGTAACTATAATAAAGCATAACAGCATTTAGGTTCATGAGGCAGTGAGCTGCATTTTATTAAAAATAATAAAAGTCAAAACAGTCACAGCTAAACTTGAAGCCCATCTGAGACCCCACTCAAAACCAACAGAAATCCTGAATTTGTGTTTCTCACACAGGACATGACTGTGGGATGTGCAGGCTTGTAGGCTTTTGTTCCCTCAAATCACATTTGTTTTTAAAGGTTGATTATTGTTCGACTGATATAAAAATATAAAATGTAACATGTAAAAATGTAAAACACTGAACAATAATGTAATTTAAATCTTTAATTGCCAATCAATCTTAACGTTTTTTTTTTTAATTTTTAAAAATGCAGTTTTAGTCTATTCCATTCAATGTTTAGTGATCAGTAAGATCAGTTATGTGATCAGAAATGCAGTAAAAACAGTAGTGTGAAATATTTTTATATTAAAATGTAATTTATTTACATGAAGTAGCAATTATTATAATCTTCAATGTCACATGGTCCTTCAGAAATGATTGTAATATGTTGATTTGGTGCTCAAGAAACATATCGTATCACCGATGTTGAAAAAGGCTGTGCCAATTAATATATTTTTTTAAGAAAAGCTGAATTTCATTCAGCAAGTACGCATTCAGTTGATCAAAAGTGATGTATAAATTTCCAGTAGGGAATTCCTGTCTTTACAATTAACATTAAACTGTTAATATTATCACATAACATCTCAACACAAAACACTATTTAACAAAATAAGTTTATGCAAGTTCTTCATTAAATTTCACTCAGCAAAACCATCACTAGCATCAATACAAACATTGCTGTCATTGCTGCAGAGTTAAAGAGTTTCTGTTGGATCTGTTTGGCTTCATTGCAGATGGTGAGTGTACTCATTATATGACCAGGACAGATTTGGCCCTAAACAAGCAGTCCTTTCTTCGAGACCTAAAAATCAGATCCTGGCCTCAAAATATCGTGGCACATCACAGTGAACATCGATGAAAACAATCAGTCACAATCATACTGATAGAAAAAAGGCATCCTTTCAAACTTTCACAACAAAAACAGTTTACATTTAGCATGAGGCAGAGCAAGATTGCAACACACCATAAAAAAAAGACAACGCACATCAAAGCTCACTGCAAAACATCTCAAATACACACACTCATACATTCACAGTGCTGAGGAGGACACAATTCCGTGCCATAGGAGTATTTTTTTTTTGGTCAAGTACATCCTGTGAGAGAAGGAAATCTGATTGAAATATCAGACTACTTGGATGGACTGACAAATATCCTCAACATCCATCCTCAATGACGAGGTTAAATTGCAAATCGGTATCAGAGAAACAAGAAAGGCACCGATTCTCTCATTTGATTCAGGATGGCAAAGTATCTTTTCAGCTCTCAGGTAAGCGATCCTGACCCTCAACAGCATTCTTCAAACATTACAGTTAAAAAAAAAAAAAAAAAAGCTATTCAGACAGCAACAATCTCATGGCTACTGTGACTGTGGCAGTGTTTGTAATAATTACAGAGACTGCTCTGTAACCATAAATGCAACCATGATGTCTTTTTAACACCACAAATTGTGCACATTGATGCTAATATAAAATCATCATATTGCTCGTCTGTCCAGTTCAGTAATTGCACCTATGTTATGTTCCTTGCCTTACAGCTTCAGTGGATGCAAATAATAATAATAAAGTAATTTTTAAAAAAGGCGTGTTAATATGAACAGATCTGAGATATTTCAGAAGTTACAGGTATTACATGTGCACTCAAAGCTGAATGGTTTAAGGCAGAAATGACAGATCGAAGATAGAACAGGCAGAGATCCGATCATTCTCACAAACAAACATGTGAATCGCAAAAAAGCGGAACAAACACCGAAGGCTGCTTTTACACCCTTAAAGTCAACATGAAATTGAACCCATTTGAACCCATTTTACTTTTGTAATGTGATATTTTTTAATGATGTATAATATGAAACTGGAAATTGACTAAAGAATGAAGTGAAGATTTCCATGAACGGTGTAAAAATCGATTGGTTAACTGGGGCTGGAATGAATTGTAAAAGCAATTTTCCCTTGTTAAAATGACTGATTCTTACACTATGACTAAAAATGTTTGATTACTGTGAATCAGAATTGAAGCAAATGGTTCTCAGCGTCAACTGAACAAATAAAAGATTCATTTGAAAGTGATTACATTAGTGTAAGTTTCTAAATATATATTCACTGTGAACTATATTAGTTGAATTTGAAGTAAAACAAGTAAAGGAAAATAATTAACATTCTGTAGTGAATGTACTGTAGGTGTTCTTACTGATCTATTTTTTCAAGATTAATCTAAAGGTTTTTTTTTCTTCTTTTGAATAAAGTGCACTGATGATTTATGCACAAGAACAGGAAGAAACCCGGGTGAGCTCTTAGGGCACCTTTTTAAAAACTCTGTGAGACACCGATAATGGATTATTACATTATGGCCGATAACCATTACTTGGCTAATATTAAAATAACATACAATTTTGTAAAAATAAATCAATCACTAAAAACAGAAAACAATCATTTCAAATGCTACATGTGAATTTACACATCACAAAATTATAAAGTATGTTTTAAATTTCATAAAGATTACATTTAACAGAGTTTTAGATGACAGCAAAGGTAATCTAAATTTAAAAATAGGGAAATGAGAATGAAAATGAAAAATTCAATGTTGTCAGATGCTTCCTTTTTCAGATATTATTTTTTACTGATATATTGTGTATCCCAATCAATTATGATTTCATGTTGATTTTAAGAATTGACACTAAATCAGAAGAATACTCTCACCACCCCCAATACACACACCATGCTAGCTTCCCAGACACTGATTAAATAGCATGCCCAGGTTTGACTATATTATTGTGACAATTGCAACAACAACAACAAAAAAAATGTTATAATGATTTTATAATGTCTAAACATAAATCTAAATGAAAACCCATTAAGGTAATCATCTGCAGCCATCTAGTCGCTATAGTTAAAATCCTTTTGAATTGAGGTTATTGGCATGATATCATTGATGTGATAATGAGCAGTAAAAACCAGATCGCACATTCCATTTTTTTGATTTTGCGCCCCTTTCTGCCCCCCGGGAGAATATGCCTAAATCCACAACTGGTTCAGTACTAGGCTTAAAATGTGTCTGGAAAACTAGCCTTATGGACAAGAGGTATTGCTCATCAATACAGCCTTACCATCATTAACAAACGTAATACCCTGTCAAGAAACTAAAAATGATAACAAAATCACAAAACTCTGGATGTGCTGGTCCACTGATGTCACAAGTCCATGTGATCCCACTGAATACACACAGGGTTATAAGGCTGTTTCGGTCTGATCTGGTCCAAACTTATACAAAACTCAAGTCTTGTTCTAATCTCAATGCATACTCACATTTAAAGTTTGTTGGGAGGTCAAAAGAAACAAGAACAGACCAAGAGGGCAAGTGCTGCGGACAGGAAGTAAGGGACTCTGTAAATGTGCAGTGGACAAAAAGCAAGCATTCCCACACACAGCGGCAGCAGTAGATGGAGCATCAGATTAAGCATCAGTTTGCTGTAATACAAGTGTAAAAACAGACACACAGACTTGTTTTAAGTTTTTTTTTATAAATAACTAAAAACATTTTTTAATACTAAAATGTCTAAGACTTTTGCACAGTACTGTATATTTATTCACAACATATTTGTGATGATTATGAATTGTACTTAAAGTATAAAAGTCAACAAAGTACCGGTATATAACGTTGTTCTAGTGGTTTTTGGATATATTTTAATCCAAAAATCGTACATATTGTGCCTTTAAGCAACATCATAAATATTGAGATGATTTTAAAAGCTCTTTGATATGGCCATATTAAGCTTCCTAAAGAATGTGTCAGTAATGAACATTACTATTTTCAATTATGTAAAATGACATGACTGATTCTGTGAGGAATGCACACAAACCTGCAGAGGAGTGTATTTGTGTTACAGTTGATGAGCAGCACAGAGCTGATGAGCAGGGGCACAATGTGAGGCCAACAGGGGTCAGGATCCAAATGAACCCAATATCTGAACAAGACAAAAACACTTGTTTAAATTAAAAACAGGACTTGTATTAGAAAAAAAATTCAGAACTTGCACTTTAAATTGTTTAAATTGCTCTGTTACCTGAAATTGTTCTTCCAGTGGATAAGGGAGGGGGCGCTAAACATCATGGTAAGAGTAAGCATTGTGGACAAACAAAAGTGGAGCTGCAGATCATCTCTGACGTCTTGTAGCGCTGATTCTGACAGTAAAGGGCTGCCGTTACATTCTTTATTCTTGCTGTGAGAGTCACTGCCATGAAAACCATTTTCTGTGTTTTGTGAAACTTTCTGGGGCGCCTGGTTTAACGAGAACAAAACATTAAGAAATTTCAGGTACTGTGAGCCAACTAGAGTAAAAAAAAGAAAGAAAGAAAGATAAATTATGTAAAATAAGGTATTTATACCAGGTTTAACATGTGGCTCAGTGATCTCTCTGTCATCTGTAATTTAAGCACCTGGACAAAAACAAACAAATCACAGGAGAATAAAATCATTATTAAGAAAACTGTTAATTAAGAGAGATTAGAGATTAAGAAAGAGAAATATTTTAATAAATATTACAGGCATCAGTAAGGAATAATTTCTTTAGTCAAGCATCCAACTTGAGGAAAACAGGTTAGAATACGCCTTATTCACGGCAGCGCCATCTTTGATTTTTAATGAGTATGAAAGCGAGACTGTGAGGGATAGACTTGCATCTCTTCAATGGGCTGTACTGTTATTTAATGTGTTTTCGGATTGTTCTGCTCATGAAACACTGGAAAAATATCTTTCTAAGAAATGTCAGTTGACAAAAAACTCCCGACAATGTAAGCTGTGGAAAATTGTAAGTAATCTAGGAGCTTTATTCCGGAGCTAGGAGCTAGGAGCTTAATTATTTTATATTTGAGATGTTTTGCAGTGAGCTTTGATGTGCGTTGTCTTTTTTTATGGTGTGTTGCAATCTTGCTCTGCCTCATGCTAAATGTAAACTGTTTTTGTTGTGAAAGTTTGAAAGGATGCCTTTTTTCTATCAGTATGATTGTGACTGATTGTTTATTTTTTACAGCGGATGCCATTGGAAACAAGGTAAGTCTATCCCTCACAGCCTCACTTTCATACCGGTCATGGCGCTGCTCTGAATAAGGTCTATAATGATTTCTCTTACCAACCCTAACCTACTTTATAGTATGAAAAGGCCTTAAGGAAGAAAGGACAGATCACTCACTCTGTAGAGGTGGAGAAGAGTGGAGACCATAAGAGCCAGCGCTCCACAGGTGACGCCTCCAAGCACAATCAGAGAGACCATCAGGAGAATCTGAGTACGAAGACGAAGGGTGCCGCAGTCCCGGGACACTGAAGGTCTGCAATCACATACATGATTTGTGGAAACATTTCCGAAAAGACCAGCAGCTAGCAACTAGTTTCTATTGCAGAAAGTGAACAATTTCAGCTTTTAACTGCATTATGCTTTTTCTATTGTTTGTTTTTCTATTTTTGACACCTCAAGATACAACCATGTATATATAAACACCTTGCATGTGCATTTGAAGAGTGTTAGCAAGGTTTTAGAGAGTCTCTTTTGCCCAGCAAGGTTGCATTTAGTTGATTAAAGGGTAACTTAACTCCTGCTTAACAGTTGTTCTGCCTGACTCCACCCACCGGCAATATTTTATAAAAAACTGGAAAAGTGGGCAGAGGCCAGTGTGGGGCGTACACCTGAAACACATCTCTCTGTAGGCAAGGCCGTGGTTAGCTGGTACTCTCTGACATCACAGAGTACCACAACTTTCTATTTAAAAATGCTATTTTACTACATTTATTTATTTACATTATTATACATTTCTTAATATTATCAATGTTGAAAACAGTTCAGCTTAAAATATTGGTGGAAAGTTATTCTTTGTAAGAGCATTTGTTTGAAACAGAAATATTTATAACATAATAAATGGCTTTACTCAAACTTTTGATTAATTTAATTTATTTATGATGGATAAAAGTATTAATTTCTTAAAAAAAACAACAACTTCAAAAAGTGGATAAATATTAAACATTTTAACATTTAGATAAATGCATTGTTGAACTCACAGAATGACAAATGTGTCTATTTTTGTTTGTGGATTTAGATCAAAACATAAAACTTAATTCATGAAAAACATCTATTTATTTAAAGCACCTATTACAAAGCAATTATTAAGATGATTTTCACCTGTGCAGTGGAGCAAGAAAAAAGGACAGGAAGTAGACAAACACTCTGAGGACTGTGCTACCCCAGAATGCAATGGCTGCACCGAGCACACAGAGCAGTGGGGATACCAGACGATGCCATTCCTGCACAGACACTTTTGGATCCTGGGATATGCTTTCCACAGAGTTTAGAGGAAGAGTATCCACCCCAGGAAAACCCAGAGAGGACCAGACATCCTGAAACCAGCTCTGCCTATAGTAGAAAACCCCTCGAAAAGATTAAAATGGGAGCACTGCCTGACCCGGCTCCTATGTTTTGCAGAAAAACAGAGTACACATTCAAATACAGCAGACAGACACTGGGTCAAGACTCACCTGAGCAACAGCAGCAGCAGGAGGACAGGCAGTTCCAGTTTGTGTACCTGTAATGATTTACTCATGGCTTCTTGCATTCCAACAGGATGCCCCAATCTTTTGATGGAGCTCAGCTGAGCACTGATCATCAGAAGAAGCACTATAGCTGAGTAGACAGGCAGAACTGGACCACAGAAACGTAGAATCTAAAGAACAATGAATTCTTTTGAATACGAGACTCTGGGTTCAAAGTTAAAATTGGTAGATGAAATACCACAATGTAAGCACACCTGCCCAAGCACTTTGGGAAATGAAGTCCGAATAGACACCTGTAGAAAAACAATATGTCAGTTGTCTTACCAGTAGGTTTACCTGTGAAAAACAAGGGATGTTGATGAAATACCTTGTATTGGCAGTTGGGGGCAGTGTGGAGCTGCAGGAGGGCACTGGAGGTGTTGTCTGGGCGGCTGGTGTGAAGCATGCTGTAGATCTCAGATACTGAAGGAATACTTGGATTGAAAACATTTTAGAGTTTTAGAAGACACTATCATTTCTACTGTAAAAAGATGCAAAAAGAGAGCTGTGGTGAGATGATGAAAGCTGGCTGATCATTCTACCTTGCCATAGCAAAGGAGTCTTCTTGAAACCAAGGTACTCTCACTCTGTACACACTGGGCAGTCTGTCTGTATAACACAACACGTACAGTATCAGACGTCTGGAATGACACCATGTCTTTTAAAACACCATGTTTAAAACGTCATGTCAACTGGTTACCTTTAGTGGTTTTGCAGTGACTCATGACTGTTATTCTGAAAGCCTGATAAACCTGAAGGAACACAAACTAGAGTTCACATCTCTTATGCTTTGGTGTATACATCTTATTTTAATTAAAGGATTAATGGACTACCAATTACTACTAATAATAGGAACATTATCCTCGAAAGACTTTATAATGCTAAAGATTATTATCGGATTTCTACCATTACAAACGCTTCTACTATCAAGGTTTCTGCAGGGTTTAGTCAGTCAAATTTAAGACGATTATGATTTCAATTTGTGACCTACACGAATTACGAAAAATAACTTCCTGTCAAAAGTCTTTTTTTTTTTTTAATTGGCGCATGAACATTATCGACTATTTATCGAACTCTTGATATCGTTTTATAGAGAAAATATTATGTTGCGATAACGAATGAATGAGTATATCAATTTAAGACGTGGCTAAATGTAATTTATGACCTTGTATGGAAAATCCAGATGTTATGACTTTTTATGGCCTAAAATTCTTCTTATTAAATTTAAGACGTTTTATGACTGAATATTTGACAGATTAGAGGGATTAAATCCATTGAGAAGCTGAGGTTAACACAGAGAATGTTGTGAGTGATGATCACCTGATGAAAGTCTTGTAGCAGTAGTGTATGGAGCAGCCCAGAGGAGTTAATGCTGATGTCACTGACGGTCAGACCTGCAAACAATCACATTCAGGTAAAATGTTCATGTTCGATTCAGGTTTGCATACATACATTTGTTTTAAAAAGCAAGTTAGAATGACAGTATTTGAAACTGTATTTTATTCGACTATTACATTCTTATTTTATCTGCCAATTTTAAAAGTTAAAATGCCCCTATTATGTTTTTTTTGGAAATAAACTTTCATGTAATGTTCAATATAGCTGTTTGTATATGTAAAATGTCTGCAATGTTTCAAAGATTAAAGTGCACAATACATTAGTTATTGTTTCCCAAAATAAAGAACTGATTCTGAACTGCCTGAAACGAGTCTTCAGTAATTCCTTCCTGCAGTAATTCCTACACAAACCTACATAGTTCTAGCCTGGATGCCAGCCCGAACCCTGCCCACAACATTTTTTTTTGGATATACTGTATATATTCCGCTATCGCGTCTGTTGCAAAAGAAATCTACAGCACATTAATTTTAAAACAGAGCGGAGCAGAGAACTGGTTGCACTCATGGAGGACCAAGTTAAGCAATACTCATTATTTTACTAACTCTTCCAGAGTGCGTTTAGTTAAGTTCTGTTGACAACTATGCGTAGCTCTGCGTTGTTGCTCTGATTGGTTGTAGGTCTATCAAATTGAGTCCAGATTTTTTTTTTCCTGGTTCGGTTAAGACGCCTCATAATCAAAGCCCTATGGAGCAGTATCAGTCTCACATTCTGACCTCGTTTACACCTGGTATTAAAATGCGATCTGTATCCAGATAAGTTATCTGGATAATAAAAAACGCATGTTAATGCAAGGTGTAAACGCGTTGTGATCGGATCGTGATCGGATCTGCCTGACCACATCTGGAGGTAGTCTGGCTCGCATTGTGTCCGGATCTTTACTAGGTGTAAACACAATCTGGTTGTTGAAACCACATATGTATATTTTACTCCTCCCAAAAATGCTAAAAAAATAAACGAGTGAGAGCGTGTTATATAGGCTATATGTCATGTTATAGCCTAGTCAGATGCGACACGCGACACGCATCACCGCAGATGAGCAGCTGAGCGTCTATTCAACGTGCAAACATCGCAAATAAAAGTGAAAGTAAGTCACAGACGCAGTTAACACATCTTCAAGTAAAGAAACGAAATTATCTTACCAGGCCTGTTGCCACTCTCTCTTATTGATGTCTCTGATTTGGAAATTAGCTGATGATCAATAAAATGCCGCTCAGATCTGTTGCTTTTGGTGGCGTGCAATCCAATAAATCTGCATATAACGCAGGAGGTGAAGATCGGATTTATATCCGTTTTGCAAAAACACATTTATGTGGCCAGGTGTAAATGGAATCAGTACTTATTATCCGGATAACTTATCTGGATACAGATCGCATTTTAATACCAGGTGTAAGGATGTCAGGCTAAAATAGGTCTGTAACAAATTTACATAATGTCAGCGTATGGTCTTCATTGGCTTCCAGCGAACAACTTCTACTTTGACCCACTATTAAACACTGTAGTTATAGTGGAGGCCCGAAAGAGTTTGTTTCGTGTTGTCGACATGTTAAATCCACTTTGTACGGACTTCCAAAGGATGAGGACTTAGCTCAAATTGATATGGTAAAACTGAAGCTCTTGTTACTGTTCGCATCACTGTTTACAATTGCTGTATAAGCCTTCAGAGCTGAAACTCAGATATGGTAATGGGCGTCTCGTTTCTCAGTTTTTTTTTTTTTTTTTTTTTTTTTACCTTGGATGCATGTTTTTAGAATACCTCCAAAACAAAATTAAGAACCTTAAAAATGGCATAACAGGGGCACTTTAAATGTGCATAAAAATAAAAAAGTTCATGCGGCTGTCATTACAGAAAGAAGGGAACAAAAATACTAAAACATTGCTCTGGAGGAAAGTATCTGCTAAATGCCTTAAAAGTAAAATGTCAACAAATACATGTGTGTGATTTTGGCTCACCAAAGGACAGCGTATGAGGCACTTGCACTGAGACAGTCAGGCTCTGCTCTCTCTGCAGCTCACACTCCACTAAAAACTACAATCAGACAAACAAGCATTTAGAATGGATCTTTGAAATAGATCATCATGCACATCTTTTTTTGACATGAATAATCCAATGAATGTTTTAAAAAGAAAGATATACTAATATGGTCTGTCATGTAATATAAGTTTTCATAATGAACATGATAATGTGGACTGTAAGTTAACCTGTCCTCCGTTGGGGTTAGAGGCGTCAATGATGAGATGAGAGACCGACAAGAGTTCACTGATTTTCACTGTCACCGCCTATGAAAGAACAGACTGTTTATAGATCAAGTTTATTTTAAATGTAGTATTATAAGTTGTGTTTTTGCCTGTTTTGAAAGAAAAACTAGACTGACCTTATAGGCTGGAAGGAGCTCTGTCTCAGATGACAGATCTATTGCCTGAACACTAGAAAATGAGGAAAAACAGAGAAAGAAACACTTCACAAAGCAAATAATATAACATACTATAGTATACACCATCAACAATGGTCCAGAGTGCCATTCACGGATATGGATCAGGATGTGGACGCGATGCACAGAAAATGTGCCAACTTTGTGAAAGACATGCATTTGGATAATGTAGAAATTACTGGCACAGATTCTGTATGGGCCCTGGTCGTTTCCAATTAAAAGAGGATTTGAATTCATGTGGTTCACTTTACTCACCACATGGAGCCGCTCATCTGTGTGCAGCCGTACAGCCAGCTGGTCATTTCCTGTTAAACATGCAGAGATAAACGGAGCTCTTCAAAACATGCTTGAGAACATTTGCAATGAGCATAACTCATGACGGATACTTGGACCACAGCCTGCATGAAGGAAAAACTGTATTTTCCTGCAAAATATGTACTTTTTTGATATCACAATACTTTTTTTATTTATTTATTTTACAAGCGTGAGCAGTGAGAATCCAAATGCTTTGCAAAATTAACAAGCGAGTTTCTTTTCTTAATTTATACTCAAAAACTAAATTCTACTTCATAATATTTTACCATTAAAATTCGTATATGAATTTACATTTAAATGCACAATAACACTGCAGATTTTCTTTAAGACTGGGACAGCTGACACCACATACAAATGTCAAAGGAATAGACTTAATTTCAGTGTAATGTTTGGTGACATTCAAATCAAAATGATACATTTAAAGGAAAAAAAAGGGTTCTGAGTGTGACGCTGTTGGACTCCCTCACCATATTATTACTGCGGCAATGGAAATGACTGTAGGCTTTCCTTCGACTGGAGAGAGCAAACAGGAAGTACTTGACTTGAGCTTCCTGCCAAGAGGATGGTTTGCATCAGTGCAATGTTCAGAGAGAAGCTGCTGGCATAATTTTTCCCAGAGATGAAGAAACATATTGTCACCTTAGGGGCAGTGTAGAACAGACGGAGTGTGTTGACCTCCTTCCATGCCTCAGGAGGAGCTGGAAGGATGGATGAATAGATTCGGATAAAAATAGTAAGAAGAAAAAAAGAGAGATTCAGATATTATCTTCCAGCTGTGTGGAAAACTGATAAAACTATAAATATATGTTCACACAAACACAGACCTGAGAAAGTGACAGGATCTTCCTGTGATTCTCCAGGCTGCAGCACTGGGTGTCTAAAGAAGTGATAATTCAACACTGACATTCGCTTCTCAGGACTCTCTGTAAACTAAAGAGACGCACGAGTCAATAAAAACAACTTGAACATGAACATTAACATGGTATTGTGTGACCGACAACATCCGGACCTTCAAAAAAATGTCTTAAAACCCTTTTTTTTTTTTCAAGCTTCCCCAATAAATCCGTATGCTCACCACGGTTTTCTCTGTTCTACACTTCCTCAGCTCTACCTTCATACTTTGTCGCAACTGTATATTTTGATAAATCATACAATTTGTCTTTCTTTGATTCATGTCAGCAAGTGTATGCTTGTCTCCATCTGTTTTGTCTCCTATTAGCAGACGGCTTTGTATTTGCTTGCTTGTTGTTTGTTTGCTATTTGTATTACATTGTGAAGCGACCTTGGATTCTTGAAAGGCTCTATAGAAAATAAACATATTATTATAATAATAATATCTTCAGCAGGATTTTTTACTGACCAGGAGCTGTTGGTAGCTGCATTCTTCAAGACAAAGGCTGTGAACATTGTAATTTGTATAGATTTTAGGAGGCATTGCTTAGAAAATGAGACAAAGCACCTGGCTGACAAAGAATCCAGGGGGCCAGTTGCATAAACATAGCCATTATGTTAAGCCATTGTCACCAGTACTAATCCAATCCACATAACTATTCAAAGAATAGTAAAGACAAAGGGTGAGAGTCTCAGAAATCGGACTGATTAGACTTACAATAAAGAGAACAGGACTGTCAGGAACCTCTTGCTAAATTCTCTTAACCGAATAATTCATCTGATGTCAAATCTTTAATGCTAAATACAATGTACTTCCCCTTTGTTTTTCATGTGATGCTATGCAAGGATGTAAGATCAAAAGATCTTTAACAGATTCTTATATTTGTAATTCCACACAGTGCTCACCTGGCCAGTTTCAGGTTCAATAAGGTCGAAGAACGCCCGAACTGTGGCCAGAACCAGCTCCTTGCACCTTGTATGAAGCATTTGAAATTACAAAGAATGAAATTCACTAGCTGTTAAGAAGCTAAGTAGGTTAAAAGCTAAATAATTAGGCATCAGTTTTTAAGCTCAATGTTAGCATACAAAAACATACCAAACAATGGAAATATGATCCGTGGAAACCCATGTTCGAGGAACTGCAGTCACCTAAAACCAATTTACAAAACACATTATGTAAGAACATAAAAAAGCAGGTTGTACTTTAAATATTCAACCAAAGATCATTTTTAAAGAAAGATCTCAAAGAAAATGACTTGTAGACCTACCACAACTGACATCTTATTGAGGTCATCAATGGGACAGGACAGCGCCGTCAAGCCAGAGCGCACTTGGAAGTCAAGGTAACCACCACCCACAGAGAGAACGGTTATATTTCGAAGGTCTTCAGCATTTGTGGCCCAGTGATTCCTGACTGTGGAGTAAAACTCTACAACAGACACACAATTCAGATGTTAGTGTACCAACGGTTTGCGTCAACATTTTTTTTTTTTTTTTTTGAGAAAGTAAAATGTACAATTATGCAAGTCCATACGTTCAAAAATTTGGGGTTGATAAGATGTTTTAATCTTTTTGAAAGAGACTCATGATCAAAATTGCAATAATATTGTCAAATATTCTTAGAATTAGAAATAATTGTTTTCTATTTTAATATATTTTGAAATGTAATGCAAAGCTGAATTTTCAGCATCATTACTCATCTTCAGTCAGATGATCCTTCAGGAATCAATATGGTGATTTCGTGCTTAAAAACATTTATATTATTTTTATCATCAATGTTGAAAACAGCTTAATATTTTTGTGGATACCATAATACATTTTTTTAGGATTCTAGGATAAATACATTTCAGCAGCTAAATGTCTAGCAGTATAATCATTTTATAAATAATAACTGTATGTGTGTCTATATGTTTTTTTTATTCCTACCCAGTATATAAGGGTCAACAGACAGGACAGGTGCCTGGTGGGGGGAGGCCTGGGTGATGATGAGGCTGACCAGCCGTGGATTGAAGCGTGCCAGGGTGAACAAGGCTCTAGCCACCACTCCACCCATGGAGTGACCCACCAGAACCACACTTGTGGGGGGGTCTGGACGGTCCTGCAGCCATGACAATGTAGTAAAAAGACAGTTAGTTTGGATGTGGATAATCTACTAAAAGCAGTGGGCTTTAATTACTAAATCAATAAAGGCTGGAATACACTACAAGACATTTCAAGTCTGGCATCAATCACTTGCTGACTTGCAGAGGGAAAAACTGGGCATCATACACTTCACAAACGAGGATCATAGTCACACCGGACTTTCACGTTATTCACAACACAACAACAAATTCACACAGAAACATGCATCTGGTTGTAAGGAGATACATGGCAAATAAAAACAATGCGTTATTTTTTTTAATCTTCCACCTGGATGGAATCATAGTCATAGTCTAAAAATCAAAATCTGTGCACATCATACAAAATCTGCAGAAAAAAACTTCCCAAAATCTGCAGACTCACTCTAACTTTCGGCAACAACCACTGTCTCCTCCAGACTAAAAATTACAAAAAAAAATGTAATCTTTTATAAGCATATATTTTGTGTGTGGTCAACCCAAAACCGATACTGGAAAGATAATGTGATCATTACTGTTACTCTTAAACCACAGTGCATACTAACAAAAGTGTAGAACACTGTAATTTGTGATCTGTAATTTCAACAAAGAGACAGAAAAGGATAGAAAGGAAAGGGTGAAGGAAATAAAAATAAAGGAAAGAAAGAAAATTAAGGAAAGTGGATGTAAAGGGTAAAAAAAAAAGTAAAGTAAAAAGGACCCCTTGACCTCTGACCTTATAAAGGCGCAAGATGGCTTTGATGCTTTCATGTAGAAACTGAGTCTGTCTATGCAAACTGCCCCCGTACAGGGCCACCAGCTCCTCGTTGAAGTCAATTGTGAACACATTCATATGGATCCCTCTCTCCAAGTTCTCAGCCTTCCTCAATGCCACTGAACCCAGAGAACGAGCTGCAAGAGAGAGTACAACAACATCTTTGTTATGCAATGAGCTCTTACATCTCACTTTCTCCATTTGCTATTTATAATCTGAAAGTTTCATTTGCATTGGGAGATGGGACAAAGTCAGTAGGAGGATCAAGATTGACTGAACAAACAAACAGGTTTTCTGTCACCCAGCTGTCAAAACCCAGCCAAATTAAACAAGGCCAAGCTATTTATATCACCTATAAGTGTAGATGTGTTGATTGAGATATTGAGGAAAAAACAGTTCCATCTCACCTTGCTTGTAGCTGCCCGCATTCCCAGGCAGGAAGAGCACAGGTGCGCCAGTGAGCTTGAGTCCTCTGGTCTCCTGAGCATATACACCCTCTCCATACAGATACAGGCCATATGATGGGTACTGGCGCGCAACACGCCTCGGAAGCGGCAGGCGCTGCAAACGCAGGTGCACAAAATGACAGGTGTAACCGTAAATATTCACGCGGAAAGGATAATAATGCTAGACCACAGACAAATCGAGTTGTGGAACAGGATTTCTGACACAAATGCAACTTTAAATGAATGTACAGGGTTTGATGGAGGTTTGAATGAGGATCACAAGTGTGACCCCTTATACCAATGTTTTGCCCATAAACATTGTGTAATGAATGGTTTGTTTATTATTGCCAAAATGAATAGGCAGAATGACAGGCAGAGATGGGCATAAATACATGGCAATGAATTTAAAATATTACAAAATACTGTGTGAAGAAAAATTATTTAAATTTTACTTTATAGTAAGAATATATATCATGGTTTCACAATTCTCAATATCTTAAAATATATCAATATCATAAACTGAATTTCAAACTCTTGAGGCTTTTTTTTATTCCTCTTCAGGTAGTCCAATTTTTTTTTGCAGGTATTTTTCCCACTTGTCTGTTCTCTTTTCATGTTAATGGAAGGCAAATCTGAATAATGCACTATTTTAATTTTAATCAACAAGTAGAATTGATGAAGAAGTAGAACAAGTAAATGCGATATCCTCATTCCAGCTCACATGAATGTTGGGTTAGGGGTAGGGGGCGTGTCTGAACTAGTTAAGTTGATGCACGAAACCAGAACTCTGATAGGTTGACTGGCTAAGTATTTTAAGACTGGTAAAGTATTTAATATATTTTGAAAATACACAAATATTTTTTTTATGTATTCAAATACTAACTATATTATATAAACATTTTCAAAAGGCTTTAAAATAGAAAATAGCATTTTGTGTTTCAAACACGTATTTTAAATACATCTGAAATACTGCCCATCCCTGATGACAGGAGGAACTGATGGCCTGTCAGTGAATTGTACACACTAGTAACCTTAGCCAGTATGTTGCCCTATTTAACGTTACAAGAAATGGTGCATTTTGCTAAATGCAAACCAAACATATCAAGAAAACAACAGTGATAAAGACTATGATACTCACTCGGTATTCTGGGTACTCGAACATGTATGTCATGCTGCATCGATTCTCCTCGAAACTAAACAGTAATTCCCGCAAACCCACGAGCAAAAGCCCAAGAGCAAAGCCGTAAAACGCGTATACAGCGAGTCTCATTTCTCCACAAAATAAGCTTGATTATATTCACAAATTCATTGTAATTGTGTCTCCTCTTTCCTCGTTGTAAACCCACACTGTCTGGACGTCACGGCGCAGACAGGGGAGTTAGCCAATAGAAAAAGGGAATGTGTTCTAGGTTTGACCAATCAGAATTGAAAGTGGGAGGGATACCAGAGAACAGTGGGATCATCGTAGAAACATTCTCCTCTATTTAAAACGCAAAGGCGTAAATCGCTATGGTAAATCGAGGGGGAGTCCATCATGTCACCTTGAATAAGTTTAAGGCATCGCACGATTAAACATCAAATATCAGTTAGTCATCTTGCAGTACTTTCATATTGACACCATACGACTTTAATATAATTGATAAAACATTAAACATCGCAATTTCTTTAATTACAACCACGTGGATTAATTGCCACCTTTACCAAAAAAAAAAAAAAAAAAAAAAGAAAGAAAGAAAAATTGCTCTTTGTAGCTTCCCTATAACTGACAAAATGATTTGCCAGAAGTAACTCTATCTGTACTTTTCTATGGATTGTGTCAGATTGCAATAAAAACTTTTTATAAATTAAATTTTAACTCAACATTTATAAATTACAGAAACCAGTTAGGACAAAATCCTGTTCATTTTCTTGCCATTGAGTTAATAAACCAGCCATAATTAACACTGTCTAAAGGTGTCTTAGTTTGACCAGGTAGGGCATATTCCATTAAAATCTTTATAGAAACATCTCCTTAAAACATTACAGACATATTTTTTTAAGTTACAAAGTTCTAAAAGGTACTGCACTACAAAAAAAAAAAAAAAAAAAAAAAAAAAATATATATATATATATATATATATATTTGGTTTTAAATTCATTCAATATATATGGTTATTTTCAGTTGTACTGTATATGACATATCACAAAATAAAGATTACATTAGAATAACTAACCATTTATAATATTCAGCCAGAATAATTTTTTGATGAATTGTCATATTTAATGCCATTATTAAATAAAAAAACGAATTTTACTTGTTGCTGCTGTTTTGCATAAGATGTCAATTTATATAAAACTGTTAAAGAAGGTCAGTTCATCAATCTGTCTATTTTCAAATGATCCAAGCAGTGATTCAAAGGTTTTCAGATGCTTCTGATACAGTGTTACAGTTCAATTGCCAGTTTGCTCGATTTGCAGTCAACTTGACAGCAAAACTCAATTATGTTGAAAAAAAAAACAAAAACTGTTGTGTTCTTAAATGTATTTACAATTTGACTGTCATGTAGTATCTGTAATCATGTTGTATCTGTAATCATGTTGTATTAGTCCCATTCAGTCCAGTACTGTTGGTTTGCGCTACACCTGTAACAAAATCCTTGTATGCTCAAACTTGGCCAGTAAAGTTGATTCTGATTCAAACAAAGTTTTTTTTTTTAAAGTTTCAATGAGCCTTACAAATTTACAAACCATTAATATGATAATCGCTTGAGATGTGCATGAGATGTGATCCACTGAAGCACACATGAAATCAACATTCATAACTTTCAACTGTCCATAGAGAGTATCTGGAGCTGACAATTATTTTTTCCAATGAGGGTTAGAGATTCAAGCCTAAATTTGTTGGCATGTTAAGCAATAATGAATGAACAAAAACAACAAAAAAGCTCTCCAAGTTCCGCACACTTAGTCAAGAAGTTTTGAATGTTCTATCCTTGTGATGATCCAATCTGGAGTCACACCCTGGGTAAACTCCCTTTGGAATCTGCCAAAACAAAGAAACCAAGACTTTTACTAATGTTTATAACAATCCTGATATTTCTGGACATCGACTCAAGGTAAATGGTAGCTTCTCTAAATCATAATATTTATAAGCAATTTAAACTATAATAAACATTAATTAATAAGAATCTTGCAATCTCTTTCAATCGCACTATGAGACGCAATACACAAGCAATGAAGAGTAATCACAGCACTCACTCATAATTGGCTGTAAGCAATCTCTTGGTCTCTGGTCTCTCTCCCTCTCCACCAATGTCAACCTGGAAAATTCTCGCTCCCTCCACACCATCTTCAGGAATTCTGGCACTCGTTAAGTACCAGAAGCGCATCAAAATACTTACAAATTTCCTACCTAAAAATGAAAGAAAGACAGAATTTAAAAACTAGTTTAAACAAAATGATATCTTTTTAAAAACATCTTGGCCTGGTTTCACAGACAGGGCTTAGATTAAACCAGGAGTAGGCCTTAGTTCAATTAGGATATTTGAGTAGCTTTTATGTGCCTCAGAAAAAAAGAAACATTATTGGTGTGCATCTTGAAACAAAACAATGACACTAACATATTTTGAGATATTTCAGTGCAAGTTGCTTTCAGTAAAAACATCTCAAACATGCACTTGGACTAGGCTCTGTGAAACTGGGGGCTAGTAACCTAAATTGGCTTTCATAAGAACCAGTCTGATAAAAAGGAGGAAAATATGCTGGATGCACGCAACAAAGCTACTTTTTTCTAAATTGCTCACCCACAAATAATAATTAAACATATTACCTGGGTGAATATTGCGTGGTATGAAGCGTATAGGGTCTCACCGCTATCATCATAGTAAATGCCCACATCTCCAGTAGTTGTGTACATGATCTCATCTGACTCGGCAGACAGCGCCCTCTGGTGGCTTAACGGCAGATTAGCGCATTTTTCCTCAAGTTTTTCTATTAGCTATGGGTGAGAATACAAATAACATCATGTATTATAGGAGTATACTATATAAACACAATAAACTCCCATTGGCATTATGTACTTACATCTTTAGCCACTAATCCCTCAAGAGACTCAAACTGACACTGAGACAGCAATCTTGAAACGTGAGAGAAAGCCTGAGAGAGAAAGGCCAGGTTTTAATATTCGGTGTAAATCATAATCATCATGTAACTCAAAACAGTAAACAGCTCACAAATAACAAAAATTATGATTAAAATTCCCAAAATTATCCAATTGAACGGGGAAACACAAAAGGGGAGGTGGAGGGGTTTGATGGGCGTGGATCAAGTAAGATAAGGAAGATCAAGTAAGAAAGAAAGTTTAAGCAAAGGTGATGATACACAGGGAAACTTTTTGAGCAATATTGTTGGGCGATCTTTCCGAGCGATTGTTGCTTGGGCACTTTCCCATTGAAAATGGGCAATACATTTCTAACTGGATAATTTAGATCGCTCATGCGCCCCGTCTCACATCTGGTTGCCCGTTGAGGACAACACTGCCCAAAAATTTGCACTGCGAATATATCATCACCTTAAGTAAGAGGAATGAAAAGTTAAAAAAATAACACCACCACATAATAATTCGTTACATTTATATAGCGCTTTTCTGGACACTCAAAGCGCTTCACATAGAGGGGGGGGGGGGGGGGGGATCTCCTCAACCACCACCAATGTGCTGCATCCACCTGGATGATGCAACGGCAGCCATATTGCGCCAGAACGCTCACCACACACCAGCTTACTGGTGGAGAGGAGACAGTGATGAAGCCAATTGGTGTATATGGGGATGATTAGGAGGCCATGATGGACAGAGGCTACTGGGCAAATTTGGCCAGGATGCCAGGGCGGGGTTACACCCCTACTTTTTCTAAAGACATCCTGGGATTTTTTATGACCACAGAGAGTCAAGACATCGGTTTAACGTCTCATCCGAAGGACATACATTTTAATTGAGATTTATGAATGGTATATGTATAACATATTACAATGTTCCATATCCTTTACAAAATGTGAAATAAGGTTTACAATTTGGCATTTGTTGATAAAGGCTAAAAATACAATGGAATTTACAATAAACATGCATATTTTATGGTATGTTGTTCATTCATAAAGTATAAATCTTATAGAAGTGACTAATGGGGCATAGGTCTTATTTCTATCTATCTATCTATCTATCTATCTATCTATATATATATATATATATATATATATATATTAGTTAGTTCATTTTTTTAAGTTTGTGAGAGCTATTTTTATTTAATTTGGAGGTATCTGTTTTAGTTATTTTTTTATAATATGTATTTTTTCTAATACAGAAGATACATTATTTCTATCATTATTTCATTCATTATTTTTGAAACCTGTCATAACATGTTGAGGAACCTCTGAGAGAAGCCTATCTGAATCTGAAATCTATTATATGAGCCTATCTCTAAGTATTATTTGAGTATCTGTTTGCGTGTCCAAGTATCCTGGTTTTTGGTAATCAAAATATCGTCACCCTACCATAATGTTTATGAACAGGTAATATATCTAACATTATGTATTTTTAGTGTCCATAACATGTCGTCGGTTAAACAATTAAAAAAAAAAAAAGACGCCTTCGGTTTAGTTCATGAGGTGATGACATAAAGAGACATATTTGGCATCTATAACTCACCTGTTTAGCTCCTTCCGAGAACTCCTCGATGCTAAACTCTTTGTCGAAGTAAGTTCGGATGAGAAAGAAGTAGATGCGGGTTCGGAACCAGATGAAGGGGTTCGGGATGCCGACAACCACAACTTTTTGGTTCTGTTTGTGTCTCCCCCGTTCAGAACTGTACTGACGAAGACTACACACAGAAGACGATACGGGTGCGAGTCGTCTGGACTGACTCACTAAAAGCGGCTTTGATGTAAAGTACCGGATCAGAATGGAAACGGGCCTGTTACAGCTACAGCACCTCAACAAGGGCAGCGCCATCTTTCTCCCATCATCCTCAGTGGGCCGCCTGTTAGGGGAATCCGACTGACAACATACAAAAGACAGGAAAGTTCCACATTTAAAGACGAATAAAACGGATTTCAACATATCAGTCTTTTCCAGATAAAACAAAATTACACTTTATTTGAATTAATTAAATGTACATTGTGCGTGTTTTGGTAAAAAAAAAAAAAAAAATTACGTTGAACATGTTCCTAGTATTTGAGCCGGTTTATTTAAATTAATCATTTGAATCGGTTCTCAAAACGGGCTGAACGATTCGTTAACGAATCAGACTAAATGGTTCTTCTGAGAGGTTCTTCTCGAGTCCATAGACATCATATAGGAGTCAACAACTAACCTACTCATTAAACCACCATTATGAATAAAAACTTAAAAACACACAGTAATAAACAACATTGTGTCTCCGCGGCTTTACTTGAGTGATTTTAGAGCATTTTTAGAGACTCGGAATTGTAACCGGTTCTTTGAAACTACCTGTTTGAAAGAGTCGACTCGTAGAAACTAGTCGGACTTCTTTTCAGTTTCGAAAGCCGAAAGACTGCAGCCAATGGACCCGGAGTCAACTCCAGATTATCAGAAATGGACTGTCAGGAAAAACTGGAGGTACCCATATACACCGATGTGGACAGAGAGACTTTCTTGAGGGACATATATCCTCTGGTAACTCGTGTTATGTATAATATCAGCAATTTGTTGCGGTGTTGTGTGTGTGTTGATTGTAAATGAAACACGTGTCTCGTTCAGCGCAGACCAGTGGTTCTAAAGCGCGTGCCCCTGGGGCCCTGTGTGCGCGCGTGGACGGTGAGTTATCTCGCAGAAAAAGGGGGAGACCGCGAGGTCAAAGTGCACGTGTCCCCAGACCCCAGGATGGACTTTCTGCATAAGAACTTTGTGTACAGGTGTGTGATTTACACTAGACCACAGAGTACGGTAAAACTACACCCGTGTAAGTTAAACACATAATTCTGTATTTCAGGACACTGCCTTTTGACAAATTTATTCAGAGAGCTGTAGAGGCGAAACACTCTGATTTCTTCATTAGTCAGGTTGGTTACCTTTAATGTTTAATCTTTTAAGAGATGTAGTGTGATAAGGTGTTTTTAAAAGTACATTCTGTAAGATTTTTAACATCCAAATATTATATTTAAGTGTATTGCATTGTGCCACTTAATTCTGAAGCTAACGGCTTCAGACACACTTACCCATTTTAATATTTTCATGTACTTTGATATTATTTATTTATTATTTTACAATGGCCCACAAGTTTGTTTTTGTTTTTTTGCAAGCCAAACACAATTTTCTTTTTCCCAACAGGATGAAAGCTATTACTTGCGGTCACTTGGAGATGATGTTCGTAAGGTAGTCTGAATTAGAAATTATTATCCTACTTCTTTAGGACTGTAGAGTTTCATTTGAAAAAATCTGTAATATGCCTCAGTATATTCACTGTAGAATGTCCTTTCCCTTTTTAGGAACCTGCTGATTTAAGGAAGCAGTTCCCTGAGCTGGCAGAGGACTTCTATATACCCCAGTTCTTTGAGCCGGAGCAGTTTTTCTCCAGTGTCTTTCGTATTAGTTCCCCTGGTCTACAGCTGTGGACGCACTATGATGTGAGTTCTACATAACTATAAGTTGTGTGTGCCACTTTTTTGCGGAAAGACAGACAATGAAAATGTGACCACACAGTTTCTTGTAAAATTGTACATTTTTTTAAAGCACTCTTGGCTTATGGCGGCTATGTTAATGTTTACCATCAGGTAATGGACAACATTCTAGCTCAGGTTACAGGACGAAAGCGTGTTGTTCTCTACAGCCCCAAAGATGCCCTTCATCTCTACCTCACAGGTGATCCTAAGTGCTTTAGAAATGACAAAGTTATGTGTAGAATATAAAATGTTATTTATTTTATCTATGCGCACATAAAGACACAGTGGCCCTCATTTATGAATCTGCATAATTGTTGAACTGTAATTTTTTTAGGGGATAAGTCTGAAGTTTTGGACATAGACACTCCTGATCTGGAACGTTATCCTGAGTTTGTGAAAGCGTGCCGTTACGAGTGTGTTCTGGAACCAGGAGACCTGCTCTTCATCCCAGGTATGATTCTTTACCCGCACCAATTAGTTAAACTGCTATATACTTTCACTCTGCACTCATAACTTGAATGTTGAACTAATTGCATTAAACGAATAGCACTTTATTTAAATGTAATGAAATTTGAATTGGATTTCCTCAGCTCTTTGGTTTCACAATACCCTGGCTCTCCAGTTTGGAGTTGGTGTCAACGTGTTCTGGAAGCATCTTCCACCTGAGAGTTATGATAAGAAAGATCCATATGGAAACAAAGACCCAATAGCAGCTACTCGAGCGCTGCAGGCACTGGAGAGGACTCTTGGCATCTTAGAAGAACTGCCACCTGACTATCGGGATTTCTATGCTCGCCGCATGGTGTCGCGGATTCAAAGTCGGGGGTACATTAGGCAACCTATGGAGGTGGCACAGGGAAATTTAGACACAGCATAGATCTCTCACTATTTACACTGAAAAGGAGCAATGGAGTTTGAGAATTATGATGAAGACTTTGTTTTCTGTCCAAAGAAAACCTTTTTTACGATATGAGAACCTAACGGAAATGCTGAAAGGTCAAAGGTCAAGTAATTAAAATCACAGCTTACACTAATTTAGTTATTAAATGATTCATTTCTGAGCACATATAAATAATGATATAAAGCATGGTCTTAACTCAACAGATCTGGGGCATGTGCAATAACTATTATGACACAATTCTAACACAAACCAACCAGTTGCAATTGCAAATATGATGTGGGTTAATAGTCACATGATATTTAGGTAAACAAATAAAATGTTTCATTTAATTTGATTCAGTATTTCTTAGAAAGTGTTTTTTTTTTTTAAAACCTCACAAACTTTCAATTGGGAAACCCTGCTTCAGAAGTTACACAGACCTAATTCTCTGTAGAATATACAAAGATTTTAATTGTAACTGGACCTGTTTACAATACTTAAGTCTTGTTTTCATTCTTTTTTTTTTTTTTGTAAAGCAGGGAAACACAAGTGAGTTGTGAGTTGCCCAGTGTGTGTAATAAGCAGAATGCATACGCGTAGTGAACCCGCCTACAGGCACACATGACTAATGCACCCTTAAAAGACAAAAACAAAATACTGCACCATTGACTTTAGACCAGGTTTTTGTTGGTCAATGGCGCAATCTATTTCAGTTGCCTTAAAATAGCAACCTGCCAACAATGCGCCTAAACACCTCGTTTTTAGACCAGCACGCCCAGTGGCGCACAGATAGGGGCAAATGCATTTGCTATTTAAACAACGTGGTGCAGGACGTGAAAATGATAACTGCGTCGGGCTGAAACTATTAAAAGACTTGCGTTGTGCTTGGCGCTGTATTGCACCAGATAATAGGGTCCAATATATTGGAAATGCATGTTTTCCATATAAACATGCATTTCCAATGCGTCGTGGAAATCTCTTAAACTCTCGTCTCAGGCCTACAAGGAAGAAAAGGAATAGTCGAATAAAGTCATTATTTTTGTTTTGTTTTTCCACACAAAAAATATTCTCGTCGCTTTATAAACTTATAGTTGAGCCACTGTAGTCACATGGAATTTTCTTCAATGACTTTCTGGGCCGTCAAGGGAAATTGGCCCAAAATCAGCCCGATTGTCTTTTTTGTGTGTACCCTGCATAAAATCCACTTTTGTTCTTCCGACCAATTAACTGAATAAAGCATTGCAGTAAATTGCGCTTATTAAATCTAACAATTGTATCATATCACGTCAAACCATGCAAATTATACTTTGTTCTCAAATTGTTAATGTTAACAACATCCGCATTGCGTGACTACATTTAAAGTCCTTCAGATATTTATCCTTGTTTTCGCATTGGCCCGGTTGCAGTCTCTTTTTCCAAATTCTCAGTCCAAAGGCCTTTACAGTTTACAACAGGTGAATCTACAGTTGTTATTGGTGATTGTGAATCTTTCTGGATACGCCATCAAATTAATAAGTTTAAATCATATCAAGTGCCGTGAGAAAAGGCTAAAAATCTCCACCTCCAACATCCTCACTCGCAATATAGCCTACTAGTCGAGACTCCTCCTTTATGTGTACAGGAATGTGACGTAATGATGTTACGACATGCTCAAATTTCCCTGCGAAAATCCACCAGTACCACTGGAATTATATAATTGTAATATTATTATAATATTATTACAAGCTTACCTCTTTGAATCGAGCTACGGCGAGCAGATAGTTTTGAACACTGGGTGGTTATGAACTTGCTCAAATTTATTTTGGATCATTTTTAACCCAAAAAAAGTAACGGACTGGAGCTTTAAATCATTCGCATCAATGCAACAATAAAATTCAATAATAATCAGTATTCATCTTCATTTATGTCACACCAGTCTTTCTGATATGTAGGGAACACCATGATAGGTAGACCATTATAGACAATTTACTACAGGGAAAAAAAACCCAGATGGCAAAATCCAGCAGTGAGACATAAATATTGTTGCATAAACTTTGGCCTCAGATACTGTACATAATGGAGATCCAATGGACTCAACTAGTGTTAAACACATGAAAGCATCATTCGCACAATTACACAAACTCATCAGTCTTATGTTAGTGAAGCAACAGTTTTGTTTTTGTTTTTTTTAAACTACAAAACAAACAATGACTACACAGAATTCTTTGAGCTGAACAACATGTCCTGATCTTCCTGATCCTTCTCAGAATAATCTCAGGCAGCCTTGCATGTAAGGCTCGAATAAATTCAGTCATTGCAACATTCAAATGAGACAATTAGCATTATAACTTTTTGAACTACAGTGTTTGTGCTTTTGAACATGCCACACTAAGAGTCGTCCTGCATCATTCAAAAAAGTCCTGATTGGGTTCTCCAAAGATGAAGAACTCAACTTAAACAGGAAGAAATGGCACGGTTGATGGAAGTAACGTTTCAGGGTTCTCATGGGCATGAATGATTATTAGCAGCAAGCTCTTTTGGAGGCTGCCCAGTGCCCAATGGAAAATGGACAGGCAGTGGAGGTTAACTTGGGCAGATTATGGGACAAATCTGAAACCATTAGGGAGTTGCTGCTGTTCCTCGGCCAGTCTTCATCTTCTCCAGCCTTTTTGAGAGGTGACTGTTACTAGCCTCCAACTCTTCAATCTTGTCCAACGCAGATCGTAACTGCCATGAAGCAAAGTTGAGCAAGTCATTCATTTTATTATATGTACATATAAGTAGGACTGTTATTTTAATGAAAGCAGTGCTATTAGGCTATTGTACCTCTCGCTGCATTTTGCGTTTTTCAGCTTTGAGTTCGTCTTCCACCTTCTCTGAATTTTCAGATGCAGCTTTGTACCGGGTCACCTGACCCTCAAGCCTTGTGACCTACAAAATGAGTTTCAATTAAAACCGTGTCATATTTTAATTCACTTTTTCATATTTTAAGAAGAGTAAAATGTGTTAAAAATATATTAAAAGAACTTACATTCTGTTCAAGTGCTGTGATTTCTTGCTCTGATTTGACAAGTTTAAATTTGAGGTCATTGACTTGCCTGTTGGCATCCCCTGAAACAAGGAACAATTACACATGAGGATGAGAGTCATACTTTCTTGAACTATGAACCATACCTGTTAAAAAATCTTTTTTTTTTTTTACTTTTTTTGAGCTGAAGAAAAGTTTCAAATACTTTTACCCTGAACCTGATTGAGAGTGCAGGCATTTCCTTACTCTGTATATCCATGATGTTGGAGTCTGCACCATTCTCCAGCACATCCCCCTGTGGGCTGGATGTGTCCTCCATACTATTATTCTGTTTCTTCTGCTCAAATTGACCTTTCAATCTCTTGACCTGGAAAAAAAATACATGCATGTGACGGCACTAAATGAGGACAAAGCGAGTGTGAAGCAAGCAACTGCCAGATACGCACCTGCTCTATTAAGTTCTCCCTCTCATCAACCAGTTTTCGCAAACGGATTTCTGAAAGTGCAACAGATTGAATATAAGACAACAACAAATGTTCTATTTTCCTGCAGTTTTTGTTGGGGGGAGGGATATGATAACACCTTAGGGTACTTACATTTACATTTATTCATTCAGCTGACGCTTTTATCCAAAGCGACTTACAATAGCTATATATGTCAGAGGTCACAGCCTCTGGAGCAATTAGGGGTTAAGTGTCTTGCTCAGGGACACATTGGTGTCTCACAGTGCATTTGAACTCGGGTCTCTCACGCCAAAGGCATGTGTCTTATCCACTGCGCCATCACCACCCCATACTTAAACTCACATTTTTGTAACAAATCTAATAAAATGTAAAAACAAAAAAGTATTCTGCAATAATAAAATGCATTCAGGTTTTAAAACACACCAAGGTTAGACAGAAAATGTTTCACATACCAGGGATGGGAGGAGCCAAATGCATGGAGGGGGAGGAGTCAGGGCATGCAAAAGTGAGGCTATCCTATGCTGGGATGTGAAGGATGAGGATGGACAACATGCAGGAACTTAAGTGACCTCAGCCTCATGCAGCCAGTTCTCTCAGCATTCACTCAACTGTACAGCTATTACATGCAAGTATTTTCCATGATTTTGAGCTTATGCAAATGAGTGTGATCTGGCATCAAATAAAAACTCCCTAAAAGTCGTGACCCAAAAAATAAACCTTGACTAGTTTCTTTTGTATACTCTGTATATCTGAAGCAGTTCAATTAAATGTCCTCTATCATTATATGAAAAATGTATTCAGTTAGCTGGGAAATTAAATGATAAAATATTTAACTGTAACACAATCAACAACAATAGATTAAAATATCTATTTTTAATGTATTCATTTAAGTTGAACATAGATGTCCATTTAACATACATGTTTCAATTGGAAAAAGTTAAAGTTGAATATTTTTTTAATCATACTCCTTAAAGGAATGTTTAATAGGGTTGGCACACAATACAAAGTTTTATTTACCACATTTGGAACAACATACAAAGTACATTATGGGTCCTTTGGAATAGAAAAAAAAGAAAGGTGGCAGTTTCCAAAACAAAAATATACTTATCACATATTCTTATAAAAAACATTTTATTCATGATTATGTAAAATTTCTAAATAAATATGACGCATTACACCCATTACTGCTAGCATTTAATGGGTTTTTGTTTCGATTTGACATTTTCTTTGACAATTTCCAGATTTCATTCAGCATTGTTATTCAGATGTGAAATATTCATGTATAAAATGTGCTTGTGATGACTGATAATCTGGCTTGACAATATGATAACTTTGGTTTTCTAGGGTTCTCAGAAGTAGTTCCCAAAACAATTTCATTAGAGCCAAGAAGTGCAATGTTAAATGTTTAATTGGACACTCTGCAATGTCCTAGTATTAAGACATTTTACAATCCTCTTTCCCTTTGCCCTTTCCTTTTCCTTTTCCACTTTTTTTAGATTCTTTAGTATCATTTTCCTTGTTGATCCCTGTGGCTTCCTGCTCTTCAGAAACATTTGATGCCTTGTTTTCATGGTGAATGGAGCTATTGATCTCTTGGCCTAAATCACTTGTCTCCATCTCTGAACTTTCATTAACCCGTTTACCGAGTGTCACATCTCCTGATGCCTGCTGATGCTCTTCAAATGCATCAGGTTTGTCATCCTGCTGATCATTAGGTCTGACTTCCCTGTTGTTTTGACGGTTTTCTTCTGTTAAACATCTTTCTACATCTGTTGCTGTTTGTGGGTTTTCTGTGGCATGTCCATCATCTTTATGCTCCGCTGTCATTGATTCCTTATTTGCATGTTCCAGATGTTCATCTTCTTGAATCTGGTCCTCATCCTTGACATTCCTTTGGTATTCATGGCTTGCTTCTTGTGCACTCTCTTTTAACAATGAGTCTTCATTTGAATGCTCTTGAAGGTTTTTTAAAGGGGCACCTGATGATGCTTCAAGATCCATTTCATCAAAATCAAATGATTCTCCTTCATCTTCCTCACCATCATCTATTTCCTTGAACTCTTGAGGAACCACATCTGACTTTATTTGAGGGTCAACCTCACCTTCAAGCAGTTCCACATTAAGTGTAACCTGATCTTGGTTAGATCTTTCCTCATGGACATGTTCTACCGTGGGTTCTTGGTCAGAAGCTTTTGACTCTACAATTGATTCCTGATTTGCTTCACTGGCAGACAGGTGATCCTCATGTAGAACCTGAATCTGTGATTCCATTAAAGGAGTGTCGTCAGCTTGGCATCCATCAAACACTTTTTCACTAAGCAAATTAAGGTTTTCTTCATCTGGTTCATCTTGTGTCTCAACCTCTTCTTGGTCCACGTCTGCTACAATACTGTCTTGGAGTTGACTTTCCATTGGCTGATTAATAGGTTGTTCCTGGATTACCTTTTCAGCTTCGTTTTCCAACTTCTCCATCATCACAGGGGAAGAGGAATGAGCAGAATTATCTTGATCTTCAGAGTTAGTGTCACAATCTAGAGTGATCTTTTGGAGCCTTTCCTTCTGTTCTTCTACTTCACCGTCCAGCTGACTCTTCTCTTCCTTGACACCTACCAATGAAGCATTCTCAATGTTCTCGTCACAATCTAGAGTGATATTTTGGACCCTTTCCTTCTGTTCTTCTACTTCACAGTCCAGCTGACTCTTCTCTTCCTTGACACCTACCAATGAAGCATTCTCAATGTTCTCAGAGCTACTGATGGATTCAATGCACACTCCAACACTATTCATGGGCTGAGCAGAAGGTTCATGAGGCAGTAAAGTCTCTGTTTCTGAAGGAATATGCTCACTACTGAAGATTACAGGTTCTGTGTCAGGATTTGTCAAACCCTCAGTGTGGTCATCAATAATGGTGGCAGGGTTACATATAATATTGTTGGACAGATCATCTGAAAGGACACCATTGCTAGATTCAGAGCAGTTCAAATTTGTGATGGTTTTAGACATTTCTGCAGAATCAGCTTCATCTGTAACTAACTGAATTCTGTCTTGAGCATCATCAGCATTAATATTTGTGTGTGTTATTTTGATACAGTCCAATTCATTGGTTCCTTTATCACCCTGTGGGACATCACTATTCATGGTTGTTTCGGATATATCATTCCCTAAGGGCTTCTCATGGTTTTCTTCTAGATCACCTTCCACTTCTTGGTTTGGATTGTCTTCACTCAAAACCATTTCATTCTTGTCGTCCATCTTTGTGTCACTCTCTTGCTTGTCACTTTGTTTCTGCTTCTGTTTGTTTTTCTTCTTCTTTTTCTTCTTTTTATTGGAAGCACTGGCACCCTGTGTTTTGGAAAGTTTCTCCACTTGAGATGATTCCACAGACTCCTCTTTGAGTTGATCATCGATCACTGCCTCACCAGATTTATCGGTTTCATCATGGATTGCACCATACTCTAAAGGAGTTTCCTCTTTGATTTCCTTAATAGGTTTGACAAATTCACTCTCTTGTTGATCTGTCTCCATAAGTCCATCCTTGTGAACTTTGCACTCTAATTCATCAGTATATTTTGAATCTTTCGGAATATGTGCCTCAGATTTGATCTTCTCCTTGGGTCTTGTTGCAGTGAGTTCATCATCACCAACAGGACTGGGAGGTTCTTCAGGTCTATTTGTAAGCTGCCCTACACCCTGATTAATTTGGTCCCCAAGGTCTCCATTCTCATTTGCTTCTAAAGCTGTCTTAGTAGAACTGAAAGGGGCATGTGAAGACTGTTGATTCCCCTGCATCATGTCATCCAAATCTTTTTGTTGCTGGTCTTTACACGGCTTCAACTGATGAGTGCCTGGGAGATGATGGAGGTGTCAGTAGTTAAAGCCAGAATTAATGCGTCTGTAGAAGCCAATGAGTATCTTGCAGATGTTTAAAAGCAAGAAGTAAAAGGATGAAGGAAAGGAGGGAAAAAACAAGACTCCAAGGCAAAGCTCTTAAACCTATACGAATCAAAAGTGTTTAAGGATGTCCCAAAAAAGAAAACCCCAGAGCTTAAAGTCAAGAACCGAAGAAACTACTCAGCAAATTCATCTCTTGATTTTGATTTCAAATTCAAGAATGAGTAAATATTTGCAGCAATTTGTTAAACACTTGTCCAGCAGAATATTGACATATGGACTCCTGTAGTGTTTGGTTCATTTTATGCCATTAATTAGTTGTATATGCAAAGTGAATACAGGGAAACAGGAAAGTGTGAGAGATGTTAATGTAACATCTGCATTTGTACAAGATTCATAGAAACAGTTTAGTTGCATATGGCTCAAGCTCTACAAGATGAAAATGCAAAATGGCAAAGATAAAGTAATGTAAGCATGCAATGAATGACATTAAGAAAAGCAGCTTACCTAGTACGCTACTCCCCTCTCGGATTTCAGTTGATGCGGTTTGAAAATTCTGTTCAGCTTCTCCCCCCGTTTCTCCATTGGTGGCCAAGTCGGGTCCAAGGACAATGCCATGTTTCTGTACAGGAAAACAATTTATCATTACTATACTTAGTTTACTCCTGCAGAGTTTAGCTCCAACCCTAATCAAACAAACCTCAATAAGCTAATATAATGTCTTTATGATTACTAGAAAGCTTCAGGCAGATGAGATCTTTTTATCAGGGTTGGTGCTAAACTCTGCAGTACAGTGGCTTCCCAGGACCAAAGTTGCCCATCCCTGGTCTAGAGTTATTTTTAAACGCATCTGTATTTGTTGATGCACCAATATTATGATAAAATTCTAATATAATATATTCTGTTCATTCAGTCAGAAGTTGAGTGTTAAAGAATCGATTTATCGATTTATATTATATTCCGGATCTTAGTACCTTTATATTAATAAATATCAATAAAACACTGAGCAGTCTCAAGTCAAGAAGGTCTGTCAAAAAAAAAAAAAAAGCTAAATATTTGTTCTGTTAGGAAAAGTCCTATTTTTCACCACACATATCAATACCTTTAAAATATCTTTGAGCTGAACAACCTCATCTCTGAGCTCATCCCGCTCATTTCGAATGGCATCAGAGAATTCCTTCTGCCTCTCTAATGCCTGAACAGCACCAAGAAGGGCAAAGATGCAGTAAAGAGGAGAAAAAGGAGAAAGCAATGAAAACAATGAAATGAAGAATGCAAGCAACAAGAATAGTTTGGCAAAGTACAGACAGTTGTAGCAGGGAACGGATGTAGAATCAAGCAAATATGTGTTTGAAAGGTGAAATTAGAATTATCTTAACGTGAAGGTAAACCAATAAAACTTTAACAGGAGTTGGATACTGAGGGATCATACCCCAATTTTTTTATTCTTCCACTCAATAGTTTCCTGGAGGTCAGAAATCTCCCTAACAAAGCCGTCTTGCTTGAGCCGTAATTGACGGATCTCCTAGAAAGAGGTATTATGCATGGAAGAAGACCAAATATAAAGGAAGGGAAGAAATTGTTCAGGCAGATGAGCAGAAGCCAAGCATTTGAAAAAGACAAAAGTTTCATGACAGACACATAAATACAACAATACTCACAGTGAGCAGTTCTTCACTCTGTTTCAATGTTTCCTTTATTTCACTGAACTGGAACTGCAGTGTACTATGGGCATGCTTCTCTCGTTCAAGGTCCTGAAAAATAAATAGAACTGCTATGAGTTATTTCATAAAAATAATCATTTAAATTTAAAATGAAGTAGTTTCTACACAGTGCAGATATACCATGTGTACAGAATGAAATTACAAACGATAACAAAAAGTTGATTAATATACAAATTATGATATACATTTGAATCTATTCTAATAAATTATTCAGACAATGTATTACAACAGAGTTATCTGCAACTTACTATAATGCACACCTGACTTTACAGACCTTAGTCTTTTCCTCAAGCTCACGGCGCGTTTCAAACAGCATCTCCTCCAGTTCCATTAAAGAGTCTTTTAAAGTGTCCACTTCATACATCATATTGGTCTTCTCATTGTCCAGCTGTGCATTGGACACCATGGCCTTACGGTACTTCTCTTCCACTTCCAAAAGGGAATCCTTCAAAAAGTCAGACACCATATTAAAAACAGTACACTCACAAACACACCTCTGAACATGTATCACAATATACCAACTAAATTAACCATGAACACACTTTTAGACTACATTCCAAAATATCATGAAGGAGGATGTGTAACTATGTTTTGGAGAAAAATATCAAGTCAAAGATGGAAGCAAGGCAGAGAAATCAGACATGTGGTACAGAAATGTAAACAGAGCCAGATAAGAACCAGAGGCTAGATATCACATGTTCCCAGTGGGCCACTCGCTGATTAAAAAGCACAAATTCTTCATATGTAACTCAGATAAAGCAGGTTATTGCTGGGGTTTTGACTGGCACTGTCTTTACCAGACATGTACCTTGAGCTCTTTGAGGTTCTGCATGTGCTTTGCCTCCACATCTTGAATCTGATCCTTAAGCTCATGGATCTCCTGAATGAGAAGCATGAAGAGTGAGAATGAAAAGGAAGGATAAAGAATGCAGTGCAGTAAGAGCAATGGAAAGGTAAAGAACAGCTGACTTATTTTCAGATGAATTACTGCGCAAGAAAGTACAAAGCAAAAAAAAAAAAATAATAACAGAGAAGCAGGTGCTCAGTCCTACTCCTGAACACAAACATCAAAATCTGCAAAAGGGGGTAATAGTGGAACAACATTATTAATTGTTGTTATAGGAGACAATAAAACTAAAAAAAAAAAAAAAAAAAACTAACTTGATTTTCAAAAGTCAATGAATTTGTGACAGCTGATTTTGACAAGCCAAACATGTCAGTATCTGAGTAACATGTCATTTATTTTAAGCCATGAAATAAACTTTCTGTAAAATAAGTATAATGAACTACACAAAAAGCATTTAAAATGCATCCAGCACATTTTATAATTACCCAAAAATCAAACATAGTTCAAGTTCACTCCTTCCACACGTCATTGCACCCGTCAAAAACTTAGGTTGGCTGTCGATTGGAATATTAGAACCAAAAACATTGACACACCGTAACACTAATGGGCAGCAATCACTTCACTGAATACTTGCTGGCTAAGAAATAAAATATTACCTGGCTATCCCATCTTTTTTTTTTTTTTTAATCCACATCATTTGAATATCACGACATAGATGTCTGTCAGAAAATAACGTGCAAAATGTACGGCAGTTTTTACGAGAAGCAGAGGTTCAGCGAATACACACATTTCCTTGAAAACCCACACTACCTTATGTTTTCAATGTGTCATCATCACTGATGCGGCTTGAGCAGCTTCAACATGCTGTCTCTCAGAGACGGTAACATGCATTATACATAACGCACATGAGTATTAAATTATTTTTCACTCAGTGAAATTGAATCGAAATGATCAGGGAATGGAGTGAAATGCTTCACACTGCATTAAATGCAGACTGAAAACGTTCACCTGGTAAGTGAACATCTTTCAACGTGTTGGTTTTGACAGACATTTTTTTTTTTAAATGTAAGAACTAAGAATTTAATGATTATTTTCTATTCTTGACTGATATTTTTTTTTCAGAATATTGGCATTAGATTAACTGTAAAAATGAGTGATCTTGAGTCCTAGTATAGTGTATAATATAAACTTGACGTGATTTTTTTTTTTAACGGTTGTTTAAAAGATTAAGGAAATTATCAATGTTTGTAATTTTCCAATAAAAGATTCCAATTTGTACATGATTTGCTACATTGAATTTCCCTTTAGCAGATTTTGACTCTTATCTGGTTCAGGTGTGTTTATTTAGAGACTAAGAAGGCAGATCTCTAGGAATAGGACTTAGCAACACAGAGAAAGAAAATTACAGTATACTGTGATGAAATGAGCAATGACGTGTTATCTTAAATCAGATTCTCATGCTGAACAAGTATGGTTGTAATAAAATGCAAAATATTAAACAAAACTAAAAGCTTAACTAGAAAGACTTGGAATATAAGGATGTTTAATGAATACATAAATATTGCATTTACTGTAGGTGTGTGTGGTTATTGGATGATATCATGTGTTTAAACTGCTGCCTAAATTTAAACTGGCACCAGACAAAAAGATTAGGACACCTTGATTTCCCGTATAGATGCTTCTGTGTCAGCAGAGATGGATGTATCTCCACTTCCTCTCCGTGAGGATGTCCCACCCAGAGAGGTAAGAGTGGCGCCAGATATAGTTGATGCTCGTGAAGAGCCCTAAAAATACAGCATAAGTCATTTCGATTGTTTATAAAGCTCACCATGACAATTTGCCTAATTGGTGAATGGTCTACACAAATTAAACAAAATCACAAACCTTTTCTAAGTAGTCTCGCTCTGACCTGTCATCAGCCTGTAAATAAACAAAATGATTCAACGTCAATAGGTTTTGTAGTCTTGCAAGTCAAGTTGCCTTTACGAGACTCTTATTCATTAATTGTGATTCATGTTGTCCACTGAAGACATGCTGTCGACACAAAAAAGTTAGCAAAAAAGACATTTTTCTATTTATTAGTTCAAGAAGATTCAAAACTCAATATTTGATTAATAAGACTGATAAATCAAAATGCAACCAGCAAGCAGTTCTTTAGTAATTCTCAAGGTGTTTCAAATATCTTTTCACAATAAACTTGAAGTAAAATAATAACGACTGGAAAGTTCCATCAAACATCATGTCACTCAAGACAGTTCAGTTTTTAATTCAGTTTGCTGGAATGACCACAGACCATCTCACATGCAGACCATCATCTCAACCCAACATGCCACTGCTTTTATGCATAAACACACACATGTATTAAACCAGGGCAATCACCACGGATCACACAAATCCCAAGATTCCACTCTCGTACCATAGGCAGCCTCCCATTAACATTCGACAGGTCAGGAATGACAACGTGGTCAAGGTCTTTAGAGAGGCCACTGATACTAGCTGTGCTGCGCATAAAACTAGCCACTGAGCTGCTGCAGTCCTCCTGGAAACCACCAGATAGCAGCAATGAACATCAATGCGAGAGGTATTTCAACTATTTAAGTCTCAAGTTTAACAGTCGGTTCTCTGCATGCACACAAACACGCCTCACCTCTAGAGTCCTTTCTTACACTGTTAAAGTAATGCACTACTACTCAATATGTAAACATCAAATGTTAAGTTGTCATTTTAAAGGGATACTCCACCCAAATATGAAAATTCTGTCATCATTTACTCACCCTCAAGTTGTTGCAAACTTGTATGAGTTTCTTTCTTCTGCTGAACACAAAGGAAGATATTTTAAAGAATGATTGGCACCAAACAGTTGTTTGGCACCATTGACTTCCATAGTAGAAAAAAAAAATACCATGGCAATCAATGGTGCCAAAGTTCCAATCGTTCTTCAAAATATCTTCATTTGTGTTTAGCAGAAGAAAGAAAATCATACAGGGTTTTAACAACTTGAGGGTGAGTAAATAATGACAGACTTTTCATTTTTGGGTGGAGTATCCCTTTAATGGAAAGACAAAAAGCACATTCATGACTTGAGTAGAAACTTCTACAATCAATGACACACACAGGCACCAGATTTAAGAGACATAAAAAAAGCAAAAGCCACGTAAAAGTAGCTGTCACTGTGAAAAAAAAAAATTGTTTGTCCATGATCATCTTGGGAATCAGTGACACTGGGTTGCTCACCACAGGGCTGCCACACGCAGAATTTGCCCTGGACGAAGTCCTAGAGCTGGAGTTCAGGAAACCACTGTATTCAGAGGACTAGAGAAACACGCACACTTGCACTGAGTATGTGAAGAATCAGAGTGAGAGAGAAAAGAGATGTATATATACTGCCTCTTGCAGTCACCAAACATCTACAAGCTTCTCAAAACAAAACAAAAAAAAAAGACAAGAAAAAAAAGGGACAAATCTAACAAAACTTAGAAAAGCAAGCTAGTAGACAAACTACTTTGAGAAGACACATGCCTGTTATTGTCTTGTGGATCCTCTGAATGTGCTAGATGGGTAGTTGATATGAAATACCGATTTGACTTATAACCTGAAGTGTGACAAGCTATACTCCATCTAAAACTAAACAGCAAATTAATTAAATAAATAATGAAATGAAACATAAAAAAACAGCACCTGAAATACACTTTCCCTTAAAATATTGTTTTATTATTATTAGAATAAAGCACTCTCAGCTTTACTGCATTCCCAAAACACATTCAAAGTCTTATCAAAGCTTTGCTTTGACTTCTTAATGATACTGTACACAAACAGCCTGTTTTTGCCTCTAAATTACACACACACACACACAACTCTGTCTCTCCAACCAACTCTCCGTACTCTCCACGGTGTGATAAAATGAACATAGTTAGTATTTTGAGTATAGAGTGCATTAGCGCTCACCCCCATTTTCAGCGGGTTTAAGTAAGGGAAAGAACTATTATAACAATCCCATGAAGCATTACAAACTGCATACTCAAATTAAAAATGATAGAGAAACAATTTGTATTACAAATATTACAAACATTAAAGTATTTTGAGAGTGTAGTGAGATTGACTCCATTATGTCATTCACAGTGCTTCATGGGAGTGAAATAATAAATGAGCCAACTATGCAAAATTATTAAAAAAAAAAACCTCACACTTTGGTTAGGGAACTGAATCCACAGATTAAAAGACTAATATTTCATTCACATTAGCTCAATTATTCTTACAGCACGAGCACTGGAGCGCCGAGAGCCACTGTAGAGACTGTCCTCATATATAGAGCCCTGATAATAGACAGATATAGAAACACAGACAAGAAACAACATTTATTTCACACCTCAAGGTCTGACCCATAACTGCTCTGTGCAAGTAAGCATACGCATACAAACTCTCTAGTCCCAGTTCTCCTTTTATGCACAATGCATCAGTACAGCTGTCTTTCATCGCATTCAGAATATTTAATTTCATATGATTTCGGCCAGGCTGGTGAAGGGGGGGAAACTATTAAAGCTGAAGTGTGTATTTTTTCAATATATTAAAAATGTGCTTGTTCATCCCATTAACAGAGACCACTATAAGTAAGCCATTCATATAATTAATTCCCTTCCAACTGTAACGAGTCAAGGTGGCACCTTTAAAATGTCAACTTCTGGCTCAGCTAGTGGTGGAAGTTAGAGAAAGATACCAGCTATGTAGGATTTTTTGTTAAAACAGTAAATTGCTTCATAATTTTCTAATCATAATTCAAATTAAAAAAAAATATATATTTTTAGCAGGAAATAAGCATTGTATAGGCACTGAATATGCAATAGTACATTAAATATTCAATTAGTATTTAGGAAGCCTGGTTGAAAAAATATATATAATCACACACTTCATCTTTAAGGATGGTATGTCAAAGCCAAAGCACGAACAATTAGCTCAGTCCTCAGGTGTTTGTGGTCTGTGTGGGTTTAAGATCTAATAACCCTACATGACCTGCTGTGGATGAGAAAGTGAAAGCATGTAAAATGTGTGTACAGAGACAGAGCTGCACATAATTATTGTACAGGAAGTGCTGTGGGGCAGAGGGTACAATATGAGGAGCAGCACAAACCCTGTGCTTCCTGCTGTGCAGCAAAGGGAGCTAAACAGACAGGAGAGATGAACATGTCGGATCAAAACCAAAAACTTTGAAGAAAAAGAAATAGTTGAAGAAAAAGAAAGCTCCAAATGCTAAAGTACAAGAAAAGAGGGGAATTGGGGAACACTGGACAGAGATTAAGTGAGATGGAAGGAGAGGATGAAGATAACAGACCTGGTAGCCACTGTAGGAAGGGACTTGATGTTTAGAGGAATAACTACTACTGCGGTTGTACAACTCAGATGAATAGTAGGCACTCTAAAATAATGGGAAATAATGTAGATGAAATGAACGATGGACTGATGAAGACAACACGAAAAGCTGCAATGCAAGAGAATCATGCTAGTTAAAGTCAGAAATTGTACTACGTCGGCTTTTCACATTTGAAAACATTGACCCAGGATATTTTAAACAAATTACCTTATTTCAGCTTTGCACTGTTTATTCAATCCCTGGGTTGAGATTTCACACTGCTCACACATTTAATTTAGTAATTTAGCATTCTACTCTGAAGCAGCTTGCTGCTAAACCTCTTTTTACAATAAGTGTGAATCGTTGCTTACCAAAGTGGCTTTAAAGGGGTAGTTAGAAATTAAAATTATGTCATTCATTATTCACCCTCATGTCGTTCCAAAGCCGTAACACCATTCATCAACCTTAATGTTATGAAGGAATACTTTTTGTGCACAAAAACCCCTAAAATAACGACTTTATTCAACAATCTCTTCTCCTCCATGTCATTCTCCTACCTACGCTGTTGACGTAGTGTAAACAATACAACACTTCTGGGTTCTACGTCAGAACGTAGGCTCACTATTGGCCGACGCTGGTCATGTGTGATGACCCAGAAGCTAGCCAATAGAGAGCCTACGTTCTGACGTAGAAACCAGAAGCGACATTAGGGTGAGTAATTAAATGACAGAATTTTAATTTTTGGGTGAACCTTAAACCCTAGATTAAAAAAAAAAATATGAAAAGCCTTTTAATTTTAGTACAATTCACATGCATAAAACCATTAGAACCACACCTCTAGTAATTAGTCATGTTAAACCTAGTATTTTTCAAGTTACCCTAGCAGAAAAGCTAATGCCTATAAGATCTCTAGTTTGTTTTAGCTGCTCTCCCACATGGGCCAAGCTAGTAATCATTAATAAATAAAATAAAAGTCATTAACAATGATCGGCCAATGCCAAACAAACACATTCCTTCTCAAACACAGTTGCAATCATCCACTCTTGTTAGACATTTTCATGTTAATAACATAAAAAAGGGACAAGAAAATCAGGCCAGAGAATCAGGAGGTTAAAGAAATGCAGGATTGAGAGACCCACCGACTGCAGATCAAGTCTAGAGGAGCGAGACCTTTTGCTCTCATCACTGAGTTTGGAGCTCTGTGCACAAATACACAGAATTCAGTTTACAACCATCACACCAATGTGTAGCACATCACACCCCAGTTAGTCACACTGTTGCATCATGATCACTGCGAATGTGTGAACAAAACAGTCTCCTAGACTTCATTATAGGCGAATCAACACGCTGTTAATCCTCAAACACTATCATTGCACAGTTATTTGGGTCACTAACCCGACTAGACAATGTGCTGAGATCATCATCATAGCCATTGCTCTGTGGAAAGACAATATGTCATGATTGATATAACATTCTCTCTTTATAGAACACAAATGCGATTTGCATAATTGCTGTAAACGTACGGTTTTAGAAGAATGTTTTTTCTTTTTCTTGGACTTCTTATGCGAGAAAGAGGAGGTGGCCTGGGGAAGCTGGACGAGATGGTGGGAAATGGAAGTAGGATTAAAACGGCAGAAACTTCATAGTTGTCCATTGTGACATGCAGGTGAAGTTTTCAGACACTTAAAGTCATATTTGTTAAAACCCAGAGTACAAATCACACCCTATTTGTAATGTTGGTGAAACGCTTCAAAACATCCCAAATCTAGCATCAGGTATTACAAGTGTTAGCTATATAGTTGAATCACACCACAGTGCAAAAACAAAATGTCTTGTGATCTCAGTTAGTGCTCATCTTACTTTCACAGGAACCCAAAAGTAATGACTGTAAAAACTGGTGCCTGAAGAAACATTTCCCAGCCTGTGATTCTTACCCCGACATAAGCACCCGCCGCATCCAAATCCAACTGCCCAGACAAACAAAACCATCATCAGCATGTGAAAAAAAATTGGACTGTTTTATAACCTTTAGACAACACACTCACATGTACCTTCCCCATACACTCTGACCCACAGTACAGAAGAACTGAAAGGAACAATACAATTACACTAATACTGACCCGTATGTTGCTCTTGCTCCCCACTGACATCCGTTCTTCATCATCCGACACCTTAGATAAAAAAAAAGAGGTAAAATGAGATGGAGCCCATGTTAAAAGACATGGAAATCACCACTGAGCACATATACAGCATATAAGTAGTGAGCCCCAAGTGTTTAAAGAAATGTTTTGCTTGAGAAGTGTGCATGGAAGTAAGTTTAAGGAGGACAGACAGTGAAAAGACATTAATACAAACCGAAGCATGTCTCCGTGAGACACGTGTATATCGCTCACTATCCTCCTGAGAAGAGAAGAGAAGAGAAGAGAAGAGAAGAGAAGAGAAGAGAAGAGAAGAGAAGAGAAGAGAAGAGAAGATATTCAAGATGGCAGAAGAGACAGACACAAAGCACTCAGCAAGCAAGGTGAGCAATGGAAACATGCAAATCAGTAATAATTGATGCAAGAGAAGTCTCTTTTAACTCTTTGAAAGAAATTAATTTCATCATTCAGTATTCCAGGTATTCCTCAATTAACTTGTTTTAGATCATTACAAATCCATATTTAAATTTTTCCTTTCTTACTTTTTGAATCAAATTTTTTTGTGTCACTACCCTTCTAATGTGCAATATGGGTCTAAAAAGATCCATATTTATGTTTCTTTGCTGAATATTTGAAAGAACAAGATATTTTGAATATTAATAAATCATGAAATTGTTAGATCATAAAATATTAAATGCTCAAATAAAGTGATTTCAAAAGGTGAAACAAAAATGCCAAGCCATGCATGAAATAACACTGAATGAGGAAATGAATACGGGTCTTTTTAGACCCATGTTGTGCATTAGAAGGGGTATCCAGCTTGCGCTTTAAATGGTTAAAACAGACTCAAAACACAACCCACACTATTAATTGTACACAGTTGTTATTGTTTTTTTGTAAAATAGTGTGAAAACCATACACTCACATTGGCATTCAAAAGTTTGGGGCAAAAAATATTTTTTAGTAATTAATTTAAGTAATTCATACTTTTAATCAATCATCAGGGATGTATTAAGTTGATAGTTGATACAAAAATAAAGTAAAGACATTTATAACATTACAGAAGATTTTTTTTAAATAGATGTTGTTCTTTTGATCTTTTTTTTTTGTCAAAGAATTCTGAAAAAAAGTATTGTCTCCACAAAAATGTAAAAACATGTAAAAAACAGCCACACAGCTGTTTTTTACATGTATAATAATTATCTGGACAAAAAAAAAACGTTTTTTTTAGCATCTAATCAGCATATTAGAATGATTTAGAAGGATCATAGACATATTAGAAGGCTCATGTCATGTGACACTGAAGACTGGGGTAATGATGCTAAAAATTCAGCTGTGCCATCAAAGGAATAAACAATATTTTAAAATACTATACATAGTTTTACTATTTTTACTGTATTTTCTTACTTGGTAAGCATAAAAGACTACTTTCACAACAAACAGTAGTGTACATAAAAGTATCTACAGTGCCATTAAACACAGATAAAGGAAGATTTTCTTTGTTGAAAGTGCAAATCAGCCTTGTAGAGTTATTGACCTAGTGTTATGAGACAAATAACCCTGTGCTGACTCTCTTAATTATTAACAGATAAAACATGAACGCATCCTGTATCACAATGGATAATATATCATGCAAATACATTTAAAAAGGTCTGAAACATGCAAAAAATCCCAACAGTGAATGTACCATCCACTGCTCAATGTCCCCCCATTTGTTGTCCAGGTTATCCAGTCCATAGTATTTCTAAAATGAGAAATCCAAAAGAAACCAGGAAAGAAAAAAAAACTTCAGCTAACAAGAATGACCTGAACGCAATTACACAGACTTCACAAAATATGACTAAATAAGCAAGAACAGAAGGAAAGGAATTCAAATATTAGAGTAGATCTACAGCATTAGATGTCCTACCTTCTGCACCTGATAAATCTACATCACATGAGGCCAGCAAAAGAGGATCAGATGAGCAAAGGAAAGAAAGAAGCCAGATTGGGAAAGAAAGGGGAAAAGAGAGGCATTGATTATTTGACATGACAGAGAGCAAACCAAGTGGAAGAACGTGTACATAAAGATAATGGAATGGAAAGGGAAAGCTGTTCAGTTTTTAGCGATCCATCAGGCAGGTGTCAGATTACTTGGACCAACAGGTGAAAGTGAAAACACCAGTTTACATACTTGAGTCAAATGCATGAAGGTCATGTGGATCAACAAGCAGCAAAATTCAAAGGCATCAAGGATGAGATTATCAGTCAGGAATTTTAAGAATCAAACTGCAAGTTAATAAACGCATCGGAATTATCCCTTGCAACTGTTCAGATATCTAAAGAGATGGTCATGTGATTAGGTCTATGGGGTAACAGGATTCTTTCCACTGATGTTTAAGGTTTCATTCAGTCCACTAGTGACCAAACCAATGAACAGCACTAGTAAAGCAGTGGTGTGTCTTGAAATAAGACTGATAACTTTCATACAGTATGGAAACCCTTTATTAATTATTTTAATAAGACAGCAATAATTGAATCTTGACCCGATTACTACTACTACTCCCCTCACCCTTTTTATTATATATACATATATTCCCCTATATCATTACTTGTGTTCAAATATAAATTGTTCACATATTTGAGAATATATCTGCACATTGTATTTGCAAAGTGAATTGTTGGAGTTTTTTTCTTTTTCTTTGTGCCAATGTAGAAAATGTAATAAAGAGAATGTTAAAAAATAATAATAATAAAAAAAGCATTGTTAAGTCGTTTTTTTTTTAATCCTATGCTATTTTTTCCATTAATTTCTTTATAGAACAATAGATTCTTTGTAACAGTGTGTGATAAGAAATTTTATAATATAATCAATAATTTGAATCGGATTATTTTATTGTCTAATATTCTTCTGAACTTTCACTTTCATTCGAAATACACTTTCATTCTCACTTACTGAAAAACCTTCAGCATCTCACCCAACTGGTTTCTCATCATATATTTGCACCAGTGTTTGTTAACACAACATTCAACAAAATCTTTTCTTTGGAGTAATCTTTAATTAGAGACTACCACAACATCAGTGCTCATTTGTTTCTGCAAAACTCTGCACTCTCACAAAACAAAGAAACTATGAAACTGTCCGGATATGACAAGAGAATGTGTAAGATGACCGTGTACTCCATTAGGCACAAATAAAACATTTCTCATCTTTCCAAATGCTCATCTAGTAAACTCAAGCTCACCTTCCTCAGCACAGGGGTCTGGGGTCGCCCATCGATCACTTCCCTAACCCCTCTACGCACTAGTCGCTTGCAAGCCGTCCTACTAGAATCACAGCGTCCCCGTCTACCTCAAGACTGAGGAAGACAGAGACTTTATATGATCTCAAAGATATAGTCTGTCATATAATCCAAACCCCACAGCCAGTTTTCGCTACAAGTTCATCCTCACAAAGTCCTGATTGAACTCTTCACAGCATGTTCAATCTTGAGTCATTGTGTTCCTGATTACCATAATGATCACATCCCAGATAGTGAATGGGACCTGAGCCTGTTATCCTGCTGCAGGTACGGCTGAAAGCTCATAATCTACTTTAATACTTGGCTGGAGTTTTAAAGCCACAAAGCGCACACCCTTAACATTCTCACACACCTCCTGATCAGACCGGGCTTAACTCTGAATACTAGCTAATCTTTCAAGTGTGACCCAGGTCTGTGTGAAGGCTGTGTTTATCTTCATTACATAAGTTTGTTGCGTCTGAGCTCACAGTGTGAGTTTATGGTTTTCTATTCACCTCTGACGGACCCTAAGCAACAGCTCAATCATATGCAAGCACCTAATCAAATGTCTCTAAATATCTACAATTTGTTTGTATGTGTGCTACTTAACCCATACCATACATACCAGTGTGTGGAGTTGGCTGAAACAAACCAGCATGAGCAGTCATAGTGCATTAAATTACTAATTACACAGAATCAACCATACGTCTATTGGAACCAAACCTTTCTTAAAATCCAGCTCCCTTTACAATGAGGAATGTTCAGACAATGAACTATTACAGTTAAAAAAGCCTGACAAATGAAATGAGTAACTCAAAAACATCTATAAAGTATGATTGTAAAGACTACCGTAACTGTAATGTAACTGGGGTCAACTACAAAACCTGCAGCAAAGCTGCAGGGTGCTAGACCAAAATAAGTATAAAGACAGACGAGGCTTTTTCATGAATGTTAATGCTATCTGAACAAATTCCTCAGACAACCTAATCCATCAATTACATGTTATAGTTCATTTTCAGCTGGGATAGTTTACCCAAAACTGTAAATTCGGTCATCATTTATTTGTCAAAAATATATTTTGAAAAATGTCTTCTTTTTTTTCCATGCAAAAAGTAAATGTGGTCTGAAGCAACACTGGAAAAAAAAACAATCTAACACCAAACTGCTCATGATATAACTGATATTTCTGAGCATTAACTGAGGCTGAAGTTCCAATGTAGCAGTTCAAATGGCCTCTTAGGAGGTCCTGACCCAAGGGGTGATTAACTGACCCTTATCCCAGTTAACCCAGCCAAAACACGTCCTTCAAAGCACAGAGCCCACAATCATGATGAAGATTAAACAAATTCAGCTGACAGCGTTGTACAGAAGCAAGTCAACAAGACCATGAGAAAGATTTCATTTTGAGAATAAAGGCGGCGTTTTCTGCTGGTAGTTCAATAAATGAAAAAAAAAAACATTGAAATTGTAAAGGCCTACAGCTCAACACACTCTTGAACGCTGTTGGAAAGGTCTCCTCCTGTGCTTCAACATTGTGTAATGCAGATTTGTTTTTGAGGTGCTTTCGGTTTCTTAAACTGTTTGTAAGTGTGATGATTATTACACCAGTCAAAGGGGACATATGCACAGCTCAGGAAGGAGTTAAGCAGGTAAGACCATAGGGATGGGATTTGCTGGTGGGCATCTAAAACAAATCTACGTGCTGGAACAGCACTGTCATGCTAGAATATACCCCTTTTTTTTATATATTTCTAAATATTTTGATTTATACTGAGATCAGGGGCCTGTACCATGATAGTTGAACAAACTCAGGGTTGAAGAATTAGTTGAGTTGACAAAACCAAACCAACTAGGATTTGTTGGTACCATGTTGCAGATCATCAACTTTCTCTGTCAACTCAGGCTTTGATCCTGAGTTTAGGAGTTTAGGTGTGACATCGGTAGCGAACAGCCAATCACATGATGAGAAAGAGTGAAACTCAATCAAAACTCATTGAAATTAATTTGTCGCGAGAGAAGTAGCGCAATTCACTTATTAAATAAAAGTATTAAAATATTAAGAATTTAAACAAATTTACACAGCAAGAAGAAAATAGCTGTCTGTGAAAGAGGACGACTAAAAGAAAGTCTCACTACTGTATATCAGTGCAAGTAAAAGTTGTGAAGTTAGTTTACACAGTTGATAAAGGTATAGAGAGATTTGAACATTTAAGCTCACATGTAGTCATTTTATAGCTTCATTTGTTGATTCTAAAGTGTACCTTAATATCGCGATCCGATACGATCCCACATGTACAATTTCAGTTCATCAATTATTATTATGCGGATTTTAAATGAACAATTCATTTAAAATCCGCATAATGATAATTGATGAACTGAAATTTTACATGTGGGATCGTTTTAGGGTAGAATAATTACAGAAATCATTTCTAAATCATATAAATTTATTTACTAAAAGCCATTATTTTGTCTTTTAAAATCATTTGCTGTGGAGTGACTTTATTGCGTCATACTTGTGTCACTTTGCTCACAGCTAATTGGTCCAAGTTCGGTTTGCAACTGAATACTGCTAAAAGCCAAACCACTTTCATGGTACCTAAAACCCAGGGTTGGCACAAACTAAACTGAAACATAGCTGGCTAGCCACCTAAACCGGCTAAATAATATACAGATAGATGAATGACATACATAGACAATAAGATGGATAGATTGTAACATGACAAATGAAAACATTTAGCAAAGCTAAGGCTAAATTTTAAGCCGAGATTAAGCTCGCAGTGACTGTGTTTCTTCACCTCTTTCTGTTGTCTCTCCAGTTCTCTCATTCTGATCTCACGAGCTTCTGCGCGGGCTGCTCTCTTAGCTGCCAAACGGGCTTCAGCCTGCAGGGGGCGGGTGGGGGAAAAGAAAAAGAGAGAGGGGTAAATTCATTAAACCACGACCATGAGCAATGTAGTCAATGCAAAAAACACAAAACAAACACATAAAAGCATTGCACTACTAAACTTAAAAAAAAATAAAAATACCAGGAGGATCACAGGAAATATAATGTCATATGTGATTACATGAATATGTTTGTGTACCTCACTGTCATAGTGTTTCATGTACTGTAACTGTATCCTCCTCAGATGGCACATGCTATGAATGTGTTTGTTTACATGAGTACGCATGCGTGCATTTGTGACTTTAGTCAATCACTTTGAAAGTCCTTTTAAGGAAAAGACTCCCTTTCAGGCATGAGGGGGAGAGAGAGAGAACATGCACACTTCCTTCCTGTAAATGACGCCACAAAATGTGCAACAACCAGAAAGAAAATAAGAAACCTCAACAGTATTACATCACAGACTCCCTCACATAGAGATGTCTCTACATTAACTCCACCTACTCTTCCACACAATCCCATGCTACAAATAGTCTTTACACCAGAGGCGTGACTGTAACATTCCCAGTTTTGCACCAGTTTCACAACACATTCCTGAAAAAGCAGCAAAATATGTATGATTTAAAGAATAGGGGTTCAAATAGTGAAATTACTACTCGAAGGGATGCATGCAAAGCTTTAAAATGATTTCCTGTGTTTGTTTGCCTATGGAGAAATGCACAATGACGTGTTCCAGAGTAGATGTCAGAACATAATCTTAATATCTCAGACTGAGGCCTTCCGTCCTGAACGGAGTCGAGCAACTTTCCAAGGAAGCAGCTGTTTCTCACCACAAAGGTCCTGCGTCCCTTTGCCAACAAAGATGAAAAAAAAAAATTTATCCCAAAAAAAAAAATGTTTCCACAGTTTCGACCGTTCTAGTACTAGTAGTTCTAACAGAAAATGATAGCTCTAATTTTGTTTTTAAGGACAAACAAACTGATATTGTAACCTTTCACATCCTTAATAATACTTTACAAAACCATTTCACTTCATTAAATGATAGTGCTTTGCAGCAACATCAGAATTAAATGTCCTAAATTTTAAAAACACCTTGCTTTTATATCTAAAATCACTACTTTGTAAACAGGAAATGTGTTATGTTAGTCAGTACGGTTGTAATGAAGGCAGATAATTATGTAGATAAACTGCTAGAGAGAAGTTACCAAGGCAAACCCCAGCAATTAAGCAGCTGCCTAAACATGTTTATAACAGGTTCTCAGTCAACACACCTATTCATATGATTTAAAATAACAGCATTACCACCCAACATGGATTTGACTCTGCTAAAAATGTTGAATAACATTTCACTTGAAAAACCAGACTAAACATCAAGAGTAATTTGAGTCTTCTGAAAACATGCAGGAATAAATGCACTCTGTGACTGTGGGACTAACAGGGTAACCAAAACTATGCCTTTTTTTGACCATAGCAGGAAGTTAGAGGGCTGAGTCATTCACAATCAAGCCTGATCACACCCTTCCTGCAGTATTAACAGAACTAACTGCTGATCGTACACACATTACTGCAGCTCGGTCCTGATGTGGAGGTCATGTGCATGTGCTATGTTGCATCAACAGCAAATAATAATCCATTTTACTAAACAAAATCTATTCACTCTCTGCATAAAATTAAACATACGCACCTAAAAGGAGCAGGATAGAAGAAGCCACCTTAAAGAAAGCATGCACCATTCTTCCTCTCTGAACTAAAATAACTTTTTTTGATTACCTATATTCATATTAAGGCCTACCTTCTTGCAGTTATCAAAGTAGACCATTATATCTGTCACGGTGAGCATATGATAGCCTGGGTCATCCGCATTTTCCCCCATGATGACAATTCACACACTCTTATCACAGAAGAGAAAAACAAAGTGGCCTATTTCACACACCTCTCTCCTCTCACTCTCTCCTCTACAGTTATTTTTAATGACCCAAATGGAGCAGGCTCTATCAATAAACCCAAAATGCTCCAATTTCATGAACGTTCTGTGACGTGGCTGTTCTCAACGGGAATGTAGAGGTAGTTCCACAGATGCCTGGTAGAGACCTTTTTTGAATAAAACACATCGTTTAATTGTTCATCAAGTTGATGTCAGGCCTGCATCAATGTTTGATGCACCAGTGGTTCTCTGGGGTGGTTAAGGTGCTCTATGGCACTTCTTATGGTTCTACATAGCACCATTTGACAAAAATAAGTGCTATATGGCACTTCAAGTGGTCCCCCCATGATTACAAGCCAATGAACCACTTTTAGAGCTATTTAGTACCATTTTTGTTTAGAGTGTACAATTATCATACATTCCCAGGTATTCCATGATGACCATTAATACTCTACATGCATTATACATTTTTTACAGTTTTTAGTACAAAACTACCGTTCTTAATGACATTAGTATTTATTTATTTTTTTTTTTTTCAAATATGAGTACCCATGGAACATCTTAGGGTTCAATAAACAGTTGAAGAATAAGAGCATTTTTGGAATTTTGTAAGATACTAACAAACTTTTCTCAGATGATTGTGGACAGCTTTACTAAAACCCTTTATTTGGTGTCTTTTAATGTAGACATGTAGAACAAGTCTCTCAGAGTTCAATGAATGCCAGAGTCCAGAGCACTTATCTACTGACATAAATACCACAGAAGGAGATGCCAAGTTCACCAGATCTCTCTCTCTCCCACGGCCTCTTGTACCAGCATGCCAGGCTGAGCGGGTACATGCTAATCAGTTGGACTGCTAATAGACTAGCTGTAATGGAAAATGAAGGGAACAAACAGAAGATATGCGACACAAATGACTGGAACTCCACAACTGCTCCTTCACAGTGTTTTTGGACAGTACTCTGGAAGCAAAACTTACTATAGTGTAAAAGATTTGCCATTAGAAACTCCAAAACTATGACTTATATAAACCAAAAGAGCCTCTGGCTGGTTTCATTCATTTTAATGTGGAAAGCTCAATATTCAAAATGTGAATCATTTTGCCATATGTGTAAACTGGATTAACTGTCTTCAGAATGAGACATAAACAGTCATTCTCACTCCAATACTAATGAAAGAGCCAGAGACTGGAACATATGAGATCACTGGAGACGTCTGCCACATTTCTGGTCTGCCCATATTAACAAACACCTACATAAATTGTGCCAGTCTGCCATGTCAAACATAAACCATACAATGTCGGATCTGTGTGTGGTGGGTCCATATTTTAGCAGTCCCTATAGGCTCTGTGGCAGGTTTTAATATCAAAAGTGAGCTTGATCAAAAAGAAACTGACCATGTAGGGCTATAAGAGTTTAGGTACATGAATTTGGGTCATTCTGAGCATGGAGAAAATTATGGCAAAAAAGGGAGGGGGGGAAAGTAGGAAAGGAGATGATAAGATTAAGTGACCATTACTTAGTGGTAATACATCATTTGTAAAATAAACCTCAGACAACGGAAGAGTTCATTTTCTATGTTTAAGGGATAATTCTAAATATCGCCCCACACTAACTTGCTAAATGCTACCATGTTAAGATATTATAAACATTAATATCATGATTTTGCTTTGACGCTTAACAAATAAAATTGACTTGACTTGAAAATGCTGTCATCTTTTACTCACCCTTTTTTTTGTTGTTTTGGCTTGTATGACTTTCAGTCTACTGTGAAAATGCGTAAGAAGATCATTTTAAAAATGTCGCGTTGTTGGACACCAAATGACTTTCATTATATGGACAAAACTGTTGAAACATTCATTAAAATATTATGTACTGCTTTTTGCAGAAGAAATTCAGACAGGTTTGGAATGACATGCAAGTGAGTAAATGAAGGAATTTTGGTCTATAAAGCAAATTCTCGCTTTATTCCTGTTTTCTGTTTGGATAAATTATGGATAAATTGGATAAATTATGGATCAATATGGATAATAATTGGATAAATTATGCAACGATATTTGTGTGGGTGTGTCGGTATGAATGCCAGAGTATGGTTGGTATGAGTGTTATAAAATATTATATTTTTATATTATATATATATATTTTTTTTATATGCGTGTGTGTGTTTGTAATATTGAGAGATTTTGTGCAACAGTGAAGTTTTGCTGCATGACATCCACTGAGGAATCCAATGGGGCATTCAATTGCCTATATAATCTGTTACTGTGCCCAAACAAAATCTTACTGAAAGCTCATTTTTTGAGATATCAACCTCAAAAGTTGAACACAACTTATTTATATTAATGGCTTTGATTTTCTAGCCGTTTTTGAGTTTAACTTGTTTTAAAAAATATGTATTTGATATAAAATAATGTTTATAAATAATTTTCATAACCTTAAAACGTTCTAACTTTATTTTGGAATAACCAATCCGATCTCACGACCAAGTCATACGAATTCGACGAATGATTAAAAAGTGGCTAATTCGTAACAATTCATACGACCTCACTCGTACGAATTAATACGATTTTGCTAAATCGTACATATTTTACGAATTGGCCAATTCGTATGAATTCGTACGAATGACCTACCCCTTACCCCGCCCCTAAACCTAACCATCACGTGGGTTTAGACAAATCGTACGAATTAGTACGAGTGAGGTCGTACGAATTAGCCACTTTTTAATCATGCGTCGAATTCGTACGAATTGGTCGTGAGATAGTGTTGGATTAACTTATTCGTTTTTTTTTCTACTTCAGCAATAATCTGCCAAGGGTCTTCTATAAAATGATAGCAAACTTAAGTCTGTGCTCCCAAGCTTCACATTTTTATTACAGTTTTTGACGGACATTTTTGACCTCTATGTCCTCATAAGTATTTTTTTAGAGCAGTTCGACATGTCTTGTTTTGTCTCAACCAATGACGTTTGCATCATTATTCAGGCAAATCATATTGCCACATTGCTACATTTCATCCTTAAACCCTAAGAAACCTGAGGTAGGCAGGGTGATGTTTTGATATATGCCAGAGTGCCCATCTCAGATGACTGCACACCAAAGCAGTTCTTCACAGAAAAAGAAGACCTAGAGCACTTGACCAACACTTGCTTCACTGACAACATGAGTTACTCAAGACTCAAGAGTAAGCGCAAACCTGTGAGAGAAACTCTAGCCTGTTGAAATGTAGGAATAAAAAGGAAGTAGCATGATAGTGATAGAGTGTCTCATCTACTGGTCTCTGGTTTCTAATGGAATTCAATTTTCAAATGACTAGTCGCAGGTGAGCTAGGTTTACAACGCAGAAGAGCTGATAAGACTGTATAGATGCCTCCAGAAGAGATTAAGAGTATGAGTCAGAGACCAGAACTCATTCAACAGACTGGTGAAGGTGGACACATTTGCTTTTCCCAAAGAATTTATGGAAATTTTATTTGTCTATCCTACCTTTTTTATTTGACATCTTATGCTGTGCATGAAAATATTCAGATGGAAATCCAGATATGTAAACGCTAGTAATTATAAGATGTCTGTGGACTCCTTTCACAATTTTAATGATAAAACTTTAGCATCTTATTAGGCTCATGTAACAACACTTGATGAGGTCAGCTGGAGTCACATGAGGGAAAACAGAAGACAAATTGTCTTTCTTCATCCAGAGGAATGAGCAGTGTCTTTGCAACATAACAGAATGTTTTACACATCAAGCTGTTTCATACCTACATTTGTCAAATAAGCAAACAACTCAAATGGCCAATCCGGGACCAGAGTGAGAGTTCGTTCAAATTCCTTTCCCTTTAGCAAATGGTCTTATCAGACCAAAATCCACAACACGACCTTGTACAAGTTAATAAATTAATAAATCATGAAACAGGAACCATTTTCTCTCTCTCTCTCTCTCTGCATTTCACATTCATTTTTAAGCATAAATGTAACTTAAGGGAATACAAGTTGTTTTTTGGGGGTTTTTTTTAAAGGGAGAAAACAAAAAACAAAACAAGACTTCACAGATAAGACGTACATTATATGTGTACTAGGAATACCATGTACCTCAAATCCAACAAAAACAGTATTTTAAAGATAAGTCATTGTTGGTAATACTAAGGATTATACCAGTAAGCATCATTGATTGAATGGTGCAAGCTCACTGAAAACCCTCTTTGACCTTCCTATAAACTGTTGAACAACTAAAATTAGGAACATCACATTATTGTGTCTGTTTACATTTACTCATTTAGACACTTCTCTAAAACAACCAACACAAAAAATACTTAGGTCTAGATGTATGCATTTTAATTATATCAAATGTGATGCATATTTGTCGGTCATACATATATTCAAAAAGAATGTGATTTTTGTAATAGTACTTTTAAATAGTATATACACAATTGAAGTATTGTATACTATCACTTTGCAACCAATTTGTCACAAGAGGAAATAATATTCACAGTACACACAATGCTAGGTCAAGTGAAAAAAAGGATAAGTACAAGCTAGAGGCATTTAAATAAATACATTTAAAGAGACCTTAAATAAATAAATAGCAGTAGTTATCGCAGCAGCCATGCTTATACACAAACATCCTAGCCAATCAGCATCAAGAGCACTAGAAATATGGACTCCGCATTACTCCTTTAAATGGGATGCATCCCAACAGCAGAGAATAAACAGGAAAGCAATTGTGATAACAATCTTCAGGGGCCCATCGGTGACGTTAGAAAAAGGAAGAAAACCCTTTCTGAGTCCATGTCCTTATATGGAGAGGTTCCATTCTTGGTGAAAAAAAAAAAGTCAGCATGCGAAAAAGGTTTCTGACTTAAGTGTGCTGACATTATTTGAGAGTTTTCTACACAGTGTCTGGCTTCAACCTTTATCAACAGTTCTGCAACAAGGCTCTTGAAGAAAATTGAAAGGAGTAATGCGTTGTTGAAAACAATCCAGTCCAAGTTTAACCTTGGGGGCACTCAGAGCTTATCTTGAGCATTTTTTTATGATTGCCATGGACCAGTGATAAGCAGGTGATAATGCGTCAATGCGCTACTGTACTTGGTATTATTTATAAACTCATATTTGTGTGTGGGCACACAAATTATGCATTATGATGTCAGGACTCTTCTTCTGAATGCAGAAATACAAAACTGCTCTTGACAATGAGTTTAGATTAACAAACAGCTCTCATCCCACAATCCAAAATCTGAGCCCAGATTACTGAACTAAACACTTTCCAGAGCAAAAAGCCTGGCATCCTAATCTGCTTGTAACCATCTCAGCTGCATTCTGGCACTGTTACAGTGTCATCCAATGACTGAGCATGCTAGTAGCTTCCAGTGGAGAAGTTTAACACAACATTTCTCATTCCTAACATTTCAAAAAATGATTAAGTACAAACTAATTTACACTATCAAATATTTGGGGTCGGTAAGATTTTTCAATGTTTTTGAAAAAAAGACCTCTATGCTCATTGCTCACCAATTCAGAAATCACTCTAAAAATGCTGATTTGGTGTTCTGGTCACCTTTCTTATTATTATCAATATTGATAGCAGTTGTGCAACTTGTTCTGCTTAATACTTTTGTATAAAAAAAAAACTAAAAACAAACTAAAACAACAACAACAACAACATGATACCTTTTCCAGGTTTCTCTGATGATTAGAAAGTTCAAAATAAACGCATTTACTTAAAATAAGAATTGTATAATAATATTATAAATGTCTTCACTATCACTTTGGTCAATATAATGCATTCTTGGAGTTGGTCTACATTTAAATTTAAATACCTTATCTAATCAAACGAGGAGTGTTGCTTGCTGTAAGAAACTTTTTTCAGTATGTGCCAAAACTTTGCGGAATGTGGTCAAGAACCAAACACATACAGCTGAAAACTATCGGTTGCATTTGTCTTACCAGATTCCATAATTTGCATCTGTGTAACTAGAAGGACAAACAAAACACTGAATCAAAGTGTTGAGTAGCAATTGTTGAAATTGTTTTACAGGAAATCCTTCACTGACTCATGTTCTACTGAGGCCATTTCTCACTCTTACCAGCTTAGCTACATTAGAGAGCAGCAGAAAAGCACAGCCACTAAGGATTACTAATGCAGATGTTATCAGCATGTGTTTCCATAGCATCCATTATCAGATGCCCCTGTTCCCTTCTTCTGCTCATTGTAATGGCCCCCCAAAACTTCATGTCTGGTCTTGAGGCTGCACTAAGAGCTGCCCCGAGGGCCTTCTATTTTTAAAGCTCTTGTTACAGAATCAATGATCGCACAAGGGTCAACATACCAGGCCGTCAGAGAGCAGCAAGTGTGGGACGGCACCCTATATCAGCAACAAATGCAGGTATCAGGTGAATAAATGTGGGACAAGCGTGGAACATAGGGAGTAAATACTGAAATAGGCCCTCAAATGAAGACAAAGTGGCTCTGAACAAAATATATAAAGTCCTGGGAAAATGTAAATAGCTTTGTAAAGGCATTAAAAACTCTTGAAAACGTGCCAAGGAGCAAGTAAAAAAAAAAGAGGGTTACACCACATTATCTTGTCATCGTCTAACTGAAACTAAACCTGCTCAGAGAGACCTTGCGTGACCTTGCTGTTTAAATTTGCAAAAGCCCTGTTGCAAAGCCACATGGGAGAATAGTAAAAAAATCATTTTCATGTCAAGAGAAACAGGTTTGATCAGAAAAAAAAAAAAAAACCTTTAGTGCCACGGTCATGCTGAAATTATGCAAATGTGAGACTGAAAGACGCTTCCTGATTCGATGTTTCACAACATGGGTGTGTGTTTAACCTGAATCTCTCTTCATCCACATGCTCACTTGTTACTAGAGATCAACAGAAAACAAAATGCACTTGTAAACAAATGCAGAAAACAGAAAACAAACACTGTTGTCAAGTTAGGCTACTTTTAAACATTTCAAATAGGTCCTTCCTTCTAACAACACTCAGACTCTTTAACTGCAATATCAACATCATGTAGCACTTTTTGTGTATTTTTTGTATGTGTTTGTTCTCACCTGTTGTTTTGTCTGAATTTGTAGCTGTGAATAAGTGAATTCCCTTGTGTGGGATCAATAAAGTCTATCAAAGTTTTACGCATCCTCTGAAACTTGTACATTTATTAAATATTTTAGCTGCTTGATTATGTATAAACACCAATAAGTGTTTCATATGTAACTCAGACTTCCACTAAAACCACTGCATAAATTAACAAAAATGGCCATTATCAATGGCAATAATAAATGAATCATGTAAACAGATGCATATTACACATATGAATATAACATGCTTCTCTGACTGTATTTCAGTCATGCTGACAGTAGAGTGAGAAGGCCTCTATCCTGCCTGCTACTGAGCATGATGCGTCAAGCAGAGACACTTACTAATAATAGATTGAAACATTTGCTACAAATATATAACTGTCTATTACACTCTTTACTTTTCACTATGGGTGTGCAAGGAAGAAACATCATATCAGTCGAAGATCTGACTGGCCAAAATAATTTCCTAAGCACTCCTATCAAGGTTCTCTCCACCATGACCCAAACACCTGTTCCAGCACATCAAACTCAGCTTATGTTGCACACTGCTAGCACTTACAAACACTACTGTTATGAAGCATAAGAAGAACACATTTGACCAAAACAGCTCAGAGAAACTTGTAGTTAGGCGAAGGCAACTAAAAACACTGGGAGGAAGTAGACATGAGGAAATCATCTTCAGTTTGTAAAATAAAATAAAAACAATGCAGGGCCACGTGAGGGCAAAAGCATGGACTTCACCTTAGTTAGGCATCTGTTATGTTAATTAGATACTTGTGAAACAGTGTAATGCCCTTGGTTTAATACAAACTGACTCAGGATGTAGAACCATGCGATTTTCATAGTTTCCACGGGAGTTTAACCTGTAATTTTCTGCAAAGGAGACCATTACATTATCTCTTATGAGATTAATTTACCTCTTTTGCGATTACGTTGAGGGCATCTTCCTCTCCAGTCAACCCATTTTTGCTGGGGGTTCTTTTACGTCCTGGCCCTTGAGACCCCATTGGTAACTTTTAAAAAATCTCTCTGAGACACTCACGCTCCTTACACGTGAGAACCGATCCTTTCAAGAGTTATTCCTTCAGCAGAGGCATAAGAAAAAGAAACCACGTTTCCAACTCTAACCAAAAACAACAAAACAAAAATAAAAAAACAGCGAGGCTACGTCGTGTCGTTCGCGACGCGGTTCATTGTGTTACATCCGTCTTTTACACTCTTCCTAGTGCTGTACTGTGAACGACTGAGTCACCGGTGCTGAGAGCGCAAACGCCTTTTCATGACACACGTGTCGTCTCTGAGGAGCTGCCAAAATGGCAGTAAATGATATAGAATAGAGTTTGTTTGCTTATAGAGTTGGGTTCTTTTACAGTGTGTTTATGGTCAGTATAACCTCTGGGTTTCTTTCGGTTCAGTTCAATGCGCGGATGGACTGTGAGCGTCTTTTGGGGGAGTTTTAGGGCTCGCACTCACAGAGCCTCTTCGCTATTTTTAATCATGGGAGTCTGCTGCTAAAAACAGAAACCTTATCTTGCACTTCTTAAAGTCATATACCCATGTGCTTACGCGCCTTTCGCAATAAACTGCTGGATTTCGTTCTGAAGTGAGAAAAAAAACCTCTGCTGGGGGGAAATATTGCTATAGATAGCCTATCTAGCCTCAGCCTGACCAAGTGTCCGGTTTAAGTGGTATCAAGCACTTAATCAATCCTGACCACTTAATCACTTAATCAATCCTGACCAGACCAAAAAAAAAAAAACTACTACACAGAGACCAGAAAAGTTTCCTTTTCACCAGCAGAAAATTGAAGTCATAATTAACCTGGCCGAAACCATATCAGCAGCATTTTTGACATAGGGATAATTCTGTTTTCACATAATTAAATGTTCATTCTCGTTTGACTATAGCCAACGGAAAGCCACCTCCACAAATGAGGAGATCGATGGCCCTGAGCCTGATGCTGGAAGGCCAATGGCTGAGGGAATTCCTGGAGGGACTTCATCAGAGCCAGTCACTCCCCAAGATTCAAGGGCTTTATAAAATATAGGAGATCTACATAGGCCTATGTATTATTTTTGATATATTTTTGATATTTTCATTTGTTTTACTTTGGGTTTTTTTCATTTATTTTTTATTGGTCCCAACGGATTCTGATTGTAATATATGTCTTTTGGAGCCTCCTGTCTCAGAACCCCAGGTAGTTTTAAGTACAGTACTCACTACACCAAAAATTATGACAAATTGTATTATACAGTTTACTCAATCAAATTGAGTTATTTAGACTTCATCTTATGAAAAAAAATATTTAAAAGAAAACAACAGTAAAAACAGCAATGAATAAATGTAGCCTATCAAAAGAATGAATGAGGTGTTTAAGCACTGCTTTCTCTTTAAAAAAAAGGGGGCGGAGACCGAAATAAACTCTAGGTTTACTGAAGAAAACCTGCACAGAGTAAGTTACCATATGTAACTGACTCTGAGTAAGTTACCTCTCTTTCAGAAACGAGCAAGACTTACTCTCCATTTTCAGGTTTGACATACCTTTCATTCTGAAATGGAAAACCCAGAGTTTGCCTCATTTCAGGGTTAACATACTCAGAGTTTTCACTTAACCTCCTTTCTGAAACGGCCCAAGAATAGTTTCACAATATTAGTTGCCAGGGTAACTGAGTTTGAACTATTTTAAATTTGCTTTAGGAAACTTTATCCACTGACAATAAGTCTGACTAACTGAAATAAGCCTGGCTTGTATTCAAATCTTGTTTTATGGAACAACCCCCAGATAATAAACACTGTTGTTCTTGGAAAGCCTCTAGCCTGAAAAACACTAATTGATTAGTAAACTTCTTTCAGCTGTGCTCAGGTGATTGTGGTTTTAAAAGAAGCTCAAAATGCTGTTGCTTTAGTAGATGTTTGTAGGCCTGTGGGTGAGAAACATGGGTATGTTCTTTTGTTGAGGATGGTTTGGCTATTGTTTGGTTTGGTTATTTGTTTTTAATTTTTTTGGTTGATTGTTTTATATTTTTTCAGCTGTAAAGACAGTGTTGATTGTGTATGCGCACCAGAGTGCTGGATCTTTCAATGCAGCCATTAAAGATGCGACTGTAGATGTGCTGAAGAATCAGGGCTGCAATGTTCTTGTTTCTGACCTGTATGAAATGAATTTCAAGGCCACAGCAACCAAGGATGATATTACTGGTTTGGAGGCAGTGTTGTGTTTTAGAAAATATTAAACTTAAAAGCTTTTGTCCTTATTGGAGTGCAATGACTATTTTGCACAATTTTCTTTTTCAGGTGCAGTGAAGAATTCAGAACATTTCTGCTATGGAGAGGAGACCATGCTGGCCTGGCAGGAGGGACGACTAGCTTCTGATATTGTAGAGGAGCACAAGAAACTAAAAGAAGCAGATATTGTTATTTTTCAGGTAATGCTTTTATTTATTAGAAATTGGATTTTGTATATTTTATTTGTTTCTTTTGGGTACTTTATGTTTTTTGTGTGTCTTTTGCAGTTTCCCATGTACTGGTTCTCGGTTCCTGCCATCATGAAAGGCTGGATGGATCGGGTTCTTACCCTTGGTTTTGCATACACTTCGGAAAAGCGCTATAGTGCAGGCATCTTCAGGGTAAGACCTACGTCACAAACTAATCTTTCATTACTTGCGTTAATCAGAGAAGGTTAAAAGTTGGTTATTTAATGAAGTGTGAGTGGGTTTTTAATTTGTGTCAGGAAAAGAAAGCCATGTTGTCATTCACCACTGGTTCCCATGAGACAATGTTCAGCTCCAATGGGATCAATGGAGATCTGAATGTTACTCTGTGGCCAGTTCAGGTAAGAAGCTTCATCCCTTTTCCCTCAATAGGCTTCATTTTGCACACTTTGATTTTGCATGTCATACTAACCTGGACCTGCTGTGCTAATGTTTTCTTTTGTAGAATGGTGTCCTCAATTACTGCGGCTTCCAGGTCCTCGCACCACAGGTCTTCTGGGCACCCACGCATCTCTCCTCTGAGGCTCGTGACAGCCTGTTGAAAGACTGGCGTACTCGTCTTCAAGGTCTTTTAAGCGAAGTGCCTCTCTCCTTCCCACCCATAGACAGTTTTGATGAGGTGAAAGGCTTTCAGCTGAAGCCTGAAGTCCATGAAAAGCAGGCCGATTCCCCCTTCGGTCTCACTGTGGGACACCACCTGGAGAAACCTCTGCCACCGCACAGTCAGATGAAGGCTGGGGTATGAGATGAGCAATTGTCCCCATGTGGCCATGTTCCTGTTTAACTGTCATGACGCTTAATTGTGGGATGTCAATAAATTGTGAATGTTTTGAATTTGACAGTTGTAATTCATTGTAAACCATGTGATACCCACAACTACGACCATGTCGAATACAGTAGCAATGTTACTGGTTTTATAGACTTTCAAATTTCCAGTAATAAACCATATTTCATTATCTGATATCAGTGATATGCTAATTTACCAACCTATTGATCTCTGTTTTGTACCATTGTACTGACAACGGTCAATCATCTCTGCAATGAGTCACATGATCAAAGCTCCTCACAAACAGCTCTTCCACAAGAAAGTTTACTTGCATAAAGAAGCAGCACGCATGATTCATACAAACATTAAACATCATAGTAACAAACATGACATTTATAATAATGCAATAAATTTAACAGCATTAAATGTAACAAACCCCAATGTACCTATCTGATAAGAAATAAACAAAACTGAGGAAACCTATATCAACAAAAATACATAAAATGTGAAGTGTCACACAGGGAATTGTGGGAATGTCAATTTATGGTGTTTCACTTTATACTATACAAGCCAAGCTGTTCTTTTTCACTTTTAAAAACTAAATTTAACAGTAGGCCTATTTTACAGTAAAATTGCATTAAAACCTTGATCTATCACAATTATTTACCGTATGCAGAAACGTTCAACTGTTTTACCCTGTAGCATTTTTACAGTCTTGTAAAAGTCATTTTTACAGTTTGAGTAACGTTAGCCGCAAAACCTAAGCATCGAAGTTTTACCACAGGTTTGCATAATAAAGTAGGCTAATACATTGATCATAATGAATAAACCTGTGTCAAGATTGCACATAAGTCACACAGAAATAAACAGTTATTCCCAAAAAGAAAGAGGACACACACCCAGATAGCACACAACGCAGACATGTGTGACGTCGTCATTTTCATGAGCGCTGTCACTAGGTACACACACACACAAAAAAAAAAAAATAGAATAGGGTCCGACCATGGGTCCAACTCCTTGAAATGCGGTCCTGAAATTCCAACTACCGGGATTGCGGAGAGATAATTTTGGAATGAACTGCGGGATCTCATTCTGAAGGGGAAAAAGCACGCAGTGGGAAAATTAAGATTGTCTAACTAGTGAGAAACACAGCCTGAGCAAGTCTCCAGGTGGTCTCAAGCATATCATCATCCCAAGCAGTTAAAAGACCACAAACTAGGCCAACACCAAAGACCATACAAGTTTTTTTTTTTTTTTTTCAGCAGAATTTTTTTTGTGTGTCTTAATTATAACCTGCCCATGATACAGAAGTATCTAAGCGAAACAGCTCGTTTAAACTGAGTCACTAAATTTATAGGGGCTATATATTTTTTACCCTCTTTATCATAGGTATTTTATTTGTGTGGGTCTAATAGACGTGCTCTATAGCTTCAGTTACTGGTGTATGTTGACATCTAGTGGTAAAAAGGTAGACTAACTACCAGGCATAATTAGTTTATTTTCTTTCTTTTTTTCTTTTACGATTCATATGCGCCTTTTAAGAAGAAATACATCCTCACATTTGTTTAACTTTTTATTTTGGTTCTTGGAAAACTTCTAGCCTGTAAACTCTAATTGATTAGTAAATTACTTTCAGTTGTGCTCAGGTGATTGTGGTTTTAAAAGAAGCTCACAAATCTGTTGCTTTAGTAGATGTTCTGAGACCTGTGGGTGAGAAACATGGGTAGGCCTATGTTCTTTTGTTGAGGTAGGTTTGGGTTTGGTTATTTGTTTGATTAATTGTTTTTTTCTTTTTTTCAGCTGCAAAGACAGTGTTGATTGTGTATGCGCACCAGAGTGCTGGATCTTTCAATGCAGCCATTAAAGATGCGACTGTAGATGTGCTGAAGAATCAGGGCTGCAATGTTCTTGTTTCTGACCTGTATGAAATGAATTTCAAGGCCACAGCAACCAAGGATGATATTACTGGTTTGGACGCAGTGTTGTGTTTTAGAAAATATTAAACTTAAAAGCTTTTGTCCTTATTGGAGTGCAATGACTATTTTGCACAATTTTCTTTTCCAGGCACAGTGAAGAACCCAGAACATTTCTGCTATGGAGAGGAGACCATGCTGGCCTGGCAGGAGGGACGACTAGCTTCTGATATTGTAGAGGAGCACAAGAAACTAAAAGAAGCAGATATTGTTATTTTTCAGGTAAGGCTTTTATTTATTAGAAATTGGATTTTGTATATTTTATTTGTTGCTTTTGGGTACTTTATGTTTTTTGTGTGTCTTTTGCAGTTTCCCATGTACTGGTTCTCGGTTCCTGCCATCATGAAAGGCTGGATGGATCGGGTTCTTACCCTTGGTTTTGCATACACTTCGGAAAAGCGCTATAGTGCAGGCATCTTCAGGGTAAGACCTAAATCACAAACTAATCTTTCATTACTTGTGTTAATCAGAGAAGGTTAAAAGTTGGTTATTTAATGAAGTGTGAGTGGGTTTTTAATTTGTGTCAGGAAAAGAAAGCCATGTTGTCATTCACCACTGGTTCCCATGAGACAATGTTCAGCTCCAATGGGATCAATGGAGATCTGAATGTTACTCTGTGGCCAGTTCAGGTAAGAAGCTTCATCCCTTTTCCCTCAATAGGCTTCATTTTGCACACTTTGATTTTGCATGTCATACTAACCTGGACCTGCTGTGCTAATGTTTTCTTTTGTAGAATGGTGTCCTCAATTACTGCGGCTTCCAGGTCCTCGCACCACAAGTCTTCTGGGCACCCACGCATCTCTCCTCTGAGGCTCGTGACAGCCTGTTGAAAGACTGGCGTACTCGTCTTCAAGGTCTTTTAAGCGAAGTGCCTCTCTCCTTCCCACCCATAGACAGTTTTGATGAGGTGAAAGGCTTTCAGCTGAAGCCTGAAGTCCATGAAAAGCAGGCCGGTTCCCCCTTCGGTCTCACTGTGGGACACCACCTGGAGAAACCTCTGCCACCGCACAGTCAGATGAAGGCTGGGGTATGAGATGAGCAATTGTCCCCATGTGGCCATGTTCCTGTTTAACTGTCATGACGCTTAATTGTGGGATGTCAATAAATTGTGAATGTTTTGAATTTGACAGTTGTAATTCATTGTAAACCATGTGATACCCACAACTACGACCATGTCGAATACAGTAGCAATGTTACTGGTTTTATAGACTTTCAAATTTCCAGTAATAAACCATATTTCATTATCTGATATCAGATATGTTAATTTACCAACCTATTGATCTCTGTTTTGTACCATTGTACTGACAACGGTCAATCATCTCTGCAATGAGTCACATGATCAAAGCTCCTCACAAACAGCTCTTCCACAAGAAAGTTTACTTGCATAAAGAAGCAGCACGCATGATTCATACAAACATTAAACATCATAGTAACAAACATGACATTTATAATAATGCAATAAATTTAACAGCATTAAATGTAACAAACCCCAATGTACCTATCTGATAAGAAATAAACAAAACTGAGGAAACTTATATCAACAAAAATACATAAAATGTGAAGTGTCACACAGGGAATTGTGGGAATGTCAATTTATGGTGTTTCACTTTATACTATACAAGCCAAGCTGTTCTTTTTCACTTTTAAAAACTAAATTTAACAGTATTTTACAGTAAAATTGCATTAAAACCTTGATCTATCACAATTATTTACCGTATGCAGAAACGTTCAACTGTTTTACCCTGTAGCATTTTTACAGTCTTGTAAAAGTCATTTTTACAGTTTGAGTAACGTTAGCCGCAAAACCTAAGCATCGAAGTTTTACCACAGGTTTGCATTATAAAGTAGGCTAATACATTGATCATAATGAATAAACCTGTGTCAAGATTGCACATAACAAGTCACACAGAAATAAACAGTTATTCCCCAAAAGAAAGAGGACACACACCCAGAAAGCACACAACGCAGACATGTGTGACGTCGTCATTTTCATGAGCGCAGTCACACATAGGTACACACAAAAAAAAAAAAAAAAAAAAAAAAAGTAGAATAGGGTCCGACCATGGGTCCAACTCCTTGAAATGCGGTCCTGAAATTCCAACTACCGGGATTGCGGAGAGATAATTTTGGAATGAACTGCGGGATCTCATTCTGAAGGGGAAAAAGCACGCAGTGGGAAAATTAAGATTGTCTAACAGTAACTAGTGAGAAACACAGCCTGAGCAAGTCTCCAGGTGGTCTCAAGCATATCATCATCCCAAGCAGTTAAAAGACCACAAACTAGGCCAACACCAAAGACCATACAAGGTTTTTTTTTTTTTCAGCAGAATTTTTTTTGTGTGTCTTAATTATAACCTGCCCATGATACAGAAGTATCTAAGCGAAAAAGCTCGTTTAAACTGAGTCACTAAATTTATAGGGGCTATATATTTTTTACCCTCTTTATCATAGGTATTTTATTTGTGTGGGTCTAATAGACGTGCTCTATAGCTTCAGTTACTGGTGTATGTTGACATCTAGTGGTAAAAAGGTAGACTAACTACCAGGCATAATTAGTTTATTTTCTTTCTTTTTTTTCTTTTACGATTCATATGCGCCTTTTAAGAAGAAATACATCCTCACATTTGTTTAACTTTTTATTTTTGTTCTTGGAAAACTTCTAGCCTGTAAACTCTAATTGATTAGTAAATTACTTTCAGTTGTGCTCAGGTGATTGTGGTTTTAAAAGAAGCTCACAAATCTGTTGGTTTAGTGGATGTTCTGAGACCTGTGGGTGAGAAACATGGGTAGGCCTATGTTCTTTTGTTGAGGTAGGTTTGGGTTTGGTTATTTGTTTGATTAATTGTTTTTCTTTTTTTTCAGCTGCAAAGACAGTGTTGATTGTGTATGCGCACCAGAGTGCTGGATCTTTCAATGCAGCCATTAAAGATGCGACTGTAGATGTGCTGAAGAATCAGGGCTGCAATGTTCTTGTTTCTGACCTGTATGAAATGAATTTCAAGGCCACAGCAACCAAGGATGATATTACTGGTTTGGACGCAGTGTTGTGTTTTAGAAAATATTAAACTTAAAAGCTTTTGTCCTTATTGGAGTGCAATGACTATTTTGCACAATTTTCTTTTCCAGGCACAGTGAAGAACCCAGAACATTTCTGCTATGGAGAGGAGACCATGCTGGCCTGGCAGGAGGGACGACTAGCTTCTGATATTGTAGAGGAGCACAAGAAACTAAAAGAAGCAGATATTGTTATTTTTCAGGTAAGGCTTTTATTTATTAGAAATTGGATTTTGTATATTTTATTTGTTGCTTTTGGGTACTTTATTTTTTGTGTGTGTTTTGCAGTTTCCCATGTACTGGTTCTCGGTTCCTGCCATCATGAAAGGCTGGATGGATCGGGTTCTTACCCTTGGTTTTGCATACACTTCGTAAAAGCGCTATAGTGCAGGCATCTTCAGGGTAAGACCTAAATCACAAACTAATCTTTCATTATATGTGTTAATCAGAGAAGGTTAAAAGTTGGTTATTTAATGAAGTGTGAGTGGGTTTTTAATTTGTGTCAGGAAAAGAAAGCCATGTTGTCATTCACCACTGGTTCCCATGAGACAATGTTCAGCTCCAATGGGATCAATGGAGATCTGAATGTTACTCTGTGGCCAGTTCAGGTAAGAAGCTTCATCCCTTTTCCCTCAATAGGCTTCATTTTGCACACTTTGATTTTGCATGTCATACTAACCTGGACCTGCTGTGCTAATGTTTTCTTTTGTAGAATGGTGTCCTCAATTACTGCGGCTTCCAGGTCCTCGCACCACAAGTCTTCTGGGCACCCACGCATCTCTCCTCTGAGGCTCGTGACAGCCTGTTGAAAGACTGGCGTACTCGTCTTCAAGGTCTTTTAAGCGAAGTGCCTCTCTCCTTCCCACCCATAGACAGTTTTGATGAGGTGAAAGGCTTTCAGCTGAAGCCTGAAGTCCATGAAAAGCAGGCCGATTCCCCCTTCGGTCTCACTGTGGGACACCACCTGGAGAAACCTCTGCCACCGCACAGTCAGATGAAGGCTGGGGTATGAGATGAGCAATTGTCCCCATGTGGCCATGTTCCTGTTTAACTGTCATGATGTTCAATTTTTGGATGTGAATAAATTATTCATGTTTTGAATTTGACAGTTGTAATTCATTGTAAATGTGGAACCCACAACTCATTGCCTGTGTCTTAAAGTTCATGTCAGATCGGGACACTTGGAAACCAAAACATAGTGGTTGATTTGTGCTCCCTAGTAAAGGATTTCCTGACTTTCTCTATTCTGTTGTTGCTTTAGTGGTCTTCTAGTTTAACCAGAAAACCTGGAATCGGTGAGCTTGACCATTTCCCCATTTCCTATGGTAATTTCTTGGAGGCATGTCCTTTTCTGCATCAAAGTGCTTTGCAGATGTCTGTCGATAAAGCTTTGAAATGCATTTGGATTGTGAAATTTAAAACCGATCCAAAATGCCACTCAAATGTAAACTATAAGCTGGCATTGTCCCAGAAAACTTGGAATATATACGCTAAGGGTGTGAGCTCCTCTTCTGCTTTCTGTGTGAAAACCAATAAGTGAAAATTGTCATCTCTTATTTAAACCAAGTTAAAAATTGGATGTGAAATAAGAGTTTGAGATAATTAGATCATGTGATATCAATGTAGCATTTTGCCATTTTAATTCATTACATTTTGTGCTGTTTCACATTGATTGTACTGGCTAGCCAACATGCTGCTCATTTACAAGCGTTCTCTCTAATAGTATAGTAATCGTTCACTGCATAGAGCTGATTTGAGTAGCCTATACTTACAACGGACAAATGTTCATGTTTAATATATTTTTTTTTTTTTACAAAACTAAAAGAAAATAGTAGTATACATGTTCTCATATCCATGTTGTTCTAATGTTAAAAATCTGAAGGTTTACTGGGTTTTTCCACGATTCTTTTGTAGCGTATTGGTGGTGTAGCCTACTAAAATAATCATTGTCACTGTGTAATTTACTTCTGACCCCTGGGCATTTAGTCCAAGTCGCCCCCTTTCGTTTCAAATAATATTTCAACGGCGGGCGTGTCAAATGCCCATCCGCCCCAATAGCTTCCGCTTGGGGAAGTGCGCACGAAGGCAGCGGAGACTCGCGAATCGATGCAGAGCCAGGCAAAAATATGAACGGTGGGCTTCTCTGGAACGCATCACACAAACCCATCATTTCACCATCAAATCGAAGTTTTATCAGATTACAATCGAAAGAAATCATTATAAATTAGCGAGATCGCAAAACGAGCATGATAAAAAGCCATTGCTGGCATTTTTGTTGTTTATCGGCTAGGCCTACTTAAGATTTAAAACCTAAGCTTCGACGTTTTACCACAGGTTTGCAATATAAAGTGATACATTGATCATAATGAGTGTCAAAATTGCACATTAGTCACACAGAAATAGACAGTTATTTGAAATAATAACTTATTTCCAAAATAATAACTTATTTCCAAAAAGAAAGAGGACACACACCCAGATAGCACACACACACGTCGCAGACGTCTGTATGACGTCGTCATTTTCATGCTGTCACACACACAAAAAAGGGTCCAACTCCTAGAGAATGCGGTCCTGAAGTTCCAGCCACCGGGATTGCATACAGATAATATTGGAAAAGCACTGCAGTGGGAAAATTAAGTCTAACTAGTGAACACAGCCTGATCAAGTCTCCAGGTGATCTCAAGTTCATCATCCCAAGCAGTTAAAAGACCACAAACTAGGCCTATACACCAAAGACCAGACAAGCAGACAAGTGTTTTTTTTTTTTCAGCAGAAAGTTTTTGTCATAATTATAACCTGACCATGATACAAAAGTAGGCTAAGCAAAACAGCTCGTTTAAACTGAGTCACTAAATTTATAGGGGCTATATATTTTTTACCCTCTTTATCATAGGCTATAGGTATTTTACTGTATTTGTGTGGGTCCTAATGGACGTGCTCTATAGCTTCAGTTACTGGTGCATGTTGACATCTAGTGGTAAAAAGGTAGACTAACTACCAGGCATAATACGTTTATTTTCTTTTTTTTTCTTTTAACGTTCATGCTGCTTTTAAGAAGAAATACATCCTCACTTTTGTTTAACTTTTTTTTTTGCTGTAGATTTTTGTTCTTGGAAAACCTCTTGCCTGTGAACTCTAATTGATTAGTAAATTACTTTCAGTTGTGCTCAGGTGATTGTGGTTTTAAAAG